GAGGATATAAAGGCCAAGCTTGCCTCCTCATATACTCTATCAAACTGGCAAAAGGTTTCTAAACTAATTCATTGCCTTACTGCTCTCATGGATGCCATGTTGGCCCTTCTCCCAAAGGACAAGACACCAGGTTGTATGTTCCTGGGTTTATTTCTGGAGAGGTTGCCCGTCGAGATGAGGGACCATCTAGTCTCCAGGGAATTCAAAAACCCTAGTGAAATGGCGTTAATAGCAGATAGTTTGTGAAACGCCAGGAAAGCTTTACCTACTGATCATCTCCTAGCTGCAGCTTCAACCTCATCATCTTCCCCAGCATGTGGTAGAGTCTAAGACGTTTTCATAAAAAATACATTTTTTTCTATTCATTTGTATTTTGAATATAGCCATGGGGGTTCTTCATATCAATTGCCCCTTTTTTGAATAGTTGTTTTTTGTTTCGTTTTTTGATCGTTTTCATAATCGATAGTTGTTTTCGGAATAAAAAACCGGCGTTTTAGAAAACGACCCACTCGTTTTGAACTTTAAGAAAACAAATAACGAACGTTTAGAAAACAATCCTCTTATAAAAACCATAAGCGACTGATTGTTATTCCAAAGACAATCATTTAAAAAAAATTGTCATGAATAAATATGTTGACGATCTTTAACTAATTGTTGTCGATAAAGATCATTGTTGCAATCGTTAACAGAGGTTCGTTGTTATAGATTGTTAACGAAGAGTCGTCATTAACGATCCTTAACAAAACGTCAAGCTTTACAAATTAATTTTTAATAACTATCGTTTTTAAAAATGATCGTTTCGTTTTTCATTTTTTCGTCGTTGTTTTCATAATGAAACGATCGTTTTTCTTCAGTTTTGAAACCGTGAAATTGCTCCAGGTTTTTCCACTCTCATTTAGAATTTCGTTTCAACAATTCCTAATGATGACTTCAAACAAAAATATTGATAAGATAGAATCATTGCAAAAGAAAGCTATACGTCTGTTGATGGGGTTACCTCGGAGAAAGGGTAGAGTATAAAATGCTGATGGACAGTTTGTACAGAGCCCATAACTTAAGACAGGGTATTGTTATAAAAACCAGTTTTGAAACCCGGGATTCACGAATGGTGTTAAGCAGTTTTGTGGATATCGATATTTTTGTTATGAAATATTATATTATTTGGTTTTCTTCATATTCTCCTTTTTTTTGAATCTCTTAAATTAAAATCTACTCAAATGTTAGGACCCCGAAATGGAAACTCGGGAGTTTCATTCAACGATACTCCCGAGTTTCCTTTTTGGGGTCTTAACATTTGTGTAGATTTTGATTTAAGAGATTCGAAAAAAATGGAGAATAAATCAAGTGAAAAAAATAATATTTTATTACAAAAATATTGATATTCATAAAACTGCCTAACCACATTTGTGAAACCCGGGTTTTAAAACTGGTTTTCATAACGATACCCTGTCTTAAGTTTTGGGCTCTGAGCTCGAAATTTAAAAGAGTATCGTTGAACGAAACTCTCGAGTTTCCTTTTTGAAGTCTTAACATTTTGTAGATTTTGATTTAAGAGATTCGATAAAATTGGAGAATATGAAGAAACTAAATAAAAAAGTATTTCATAGCAAAAATATTGATATCCACAAAACTGCCTAACCCCATTTGCAAAACCAGGGTTTTATAACTGGTTTTCATAACGATACCCTGTCTTAAGTTTTGGGCTCAGGGGAATTGTACAGAACCCTTATAATTGAACAGAAAGGTTAACATGTACATTTAAAGAAGAGGGGGATTTTTGTAGACGTTGACAACACCTCTAACTCCCTGTCTCCAATACTAGAAATTCAGCTGACCAGCTGAGGTATGGCGGGAGATTTACTTCCAACACAATGAAGATCACTAACCAGCTCCTAGAGTTATACAATGTTGGTGTAAACGCTGGCCTGGATTTGAAGCTGAATCTATGGACAAGGAATGGGGACGAGTTTTTTTCTTTTTCTCACCTTCCTGGATCCAAGCATCAGAGAACCAGGACTAGGAGCAGAAGATGGAGAAGTTATGGACGGGCGAGAAATACCTCAAAGGATGTTAGGTCTCCCTTGCAGGCTGCAGGACCCTCCCAGGTGCGTGAGAGGTCCCATCTGCAGGTAGCTAGACCCCGCCAGGTGGATGAGAGTTCCCAACCGCAGGTAGCTGGACCCCCCAAGGTGCGTGAGAAGTCCCAACCACAGGTAGCTGGACCCCGCCAGATGGATGAGAGTTTCCAACCGCAGGTAGCTGGACCCCGCCAGGTGGATGAGAGGTCCCAACCACAGGTAGCTGGACCCCCCAAGGTGCGTGATAGGTCCCAACCGCAGGTAGCTGGACCCCGCCAGGTGGATGATGAGTCCCAACTGCAGAAATCAGAGTCCCCTCAAGAGAATGAAAGAAATCCAGCCCCTGTGAAAACCCCCTTGATGGAGGAGAGAATCTGCAGGAAAGGGTTAAGGCGCCATTGCAATGATACAAAGTACCAAAATCCTCTTTTCTTGAAAGAACCTTTTACTTCTTTTACACCCTCCTCCTATATACCTCAGTTAGACGGTGAAAATGAACCTGATCCTGAACCTAATCCTGAACCTGATCCTGAACCTGAACAAAAAAGCGACCCTAAGCCAGAGCAGACCGTGAAACCCCTAATTAAAACCATACCACTTGAGCTTGAACCCGCGCCTGGCCTGAATCCTCCATCCAATATTGTGAATCCTATGTTTGGATTTTGTCAGGATACTACATGTTTAATATGTCCTGATAAAACCACGGAAAAAATCGGAAACTATGATGCCTGTTTTCCTAGCACAGATAAATCAATACCAGGATGTGAACGTGTACACTGGCATTCTAAGAATACACTCTGTTTTACAGCTGGTGAATTCAAAAAAACTAATATGTGGTAAAATTTCTCTGAGATAATTGTAAAACTTTATGAAATCTTTAATCTTTAATCACTGAATAAATATTTAGATCTTAAAAAGTAATGACCATATTTTTTCAAAGTTTTGCAGAGTAGCTTTTCTAAAGATTTAAAAAAGTAACATTTTTTTCCTCTTAGAGTAAAACTATTATCTTTTATATTACTGCCTTTTTTCAATGTTTGCCAGCAAACTTAATATAAAAAGTTTAGTTAAAAAAAATAAATTCAGTTTTTTTTACAGATCTTTGTAGTTAATGTAAAATGAATGACTATAATGAAGGGTATAAAACAAGGTGAAAGCTGAAAGGTATGTAATGAAGCCTTTATTAGATTGAGTTTGTAAATCCCAGAAATGGGTGGAAATGCAAATCAAACCAAATTAAAACCAATAATATTTGATATACATCATGAAAATTTTTTTACCCCCTCCTCCCTACAGAATCCTTATATCCGCCCCTGCTTTCAACATTCTCTCCTTCAGAAAATTGGGAATTTTTAGTGTTCGAAATTTTTATTTCTATTGAAAGGAGACCAATTACCCCCAACATTTAAAAAAGATTTCTTATTATCAAAAAATATCAAAACCTAAATCTTAAAAACAAAAATGATTTTTTTATTCTTGGAGTAAAATCTATTAAAATTGGATTGCTTCCTTCTCACAATTTCCCTAAAATATATATATATATATGAAAAGAAACGGCATTAGACAAGTTAAGCTTTTAAATATCAATCTTATTTCGAATTTTTTACAGAATTAAATTGAACATTTTTGTTAGCAGAACAAATGTTTTAATTCTAAAATAATTGAAATAAATAGAATCGAAGAAAGCAAAGACGATTTTCAAAGAAAAGACTAAAAAGAGTAATTAAGATGTCATAAATAAAGGATGTCAAAAATCAGTGCGAATTAAAAAGATGCTTAAAAATGCCCGTTTTGCGTAGAACCTATTTTTCACAGCCCATAAAGCTTACTTAAATTTTTTTTTAACGTTACAAATAAATCTTATCATTTTTATTTCTAAAAGTTGTTTATCGTCGAAAAATACTTACACTCCACCATTATATTAAATATAATGAAAACAATAAATATTTAACTTTCCTTTTCATTTCTTTTTCATTCCTTTTCCTTTGATTTATATTTTATATTTTTTAGAATTGGGGGAAAATATTCCCACAACCTCTATTTTTTGAGGTTTAAAATATTTTCTCCCAAAACCCTTAATTTTGTATGTTTTTGTTATATACTTCATAAATAAATAATAACTTACATACGTACTTCAAAAACTTTTTTTCAGAGAACTTTTTTGGCGGTTATACCTATCTGAACACCTTGATATACTATAAGTAAATATTTGCATGCAGCTATTGGCAGGGGCGGATACAGGATTTAAGTGAGGGGGGCAAGATTTTTTAGGAACAAAAAAATCCATAATTAGGAACAAAAAATCGCGCTGCAGGCGAAAATTTGTTTTGACTTAAAAGACTCAAAAAGAGTCAAAATTAATGACTAAAGACTAAAAAACTAGACTTTTAACTTTTCACAAATTATAGTTTATTAAGACAGATATTTTTCCTAGCTGTTTTGCACTAGGGTTGCTTTTCCTTATAAGCATGCTATTGAGAAGCTATTCTGAAAATAGGAACAACAAATTCCAAATTCAGGGGGGGGGGCTACGCCCCTCCCTGAATCTGTCAGGGGGTGCGAATGTCCCCCCGCCCCCACTGTATCCGCCCCTGGCTATTGGCTTTAGATTTAAATGATAATTATTTGTAAATTTTGTGTAATAACTTGCATGCACTTTACGTACATTGCATGCCAAAATGACATAATGACAAAATCGGGCCTGCCTGCCTGGTGCCTGTTTGATGCTAGGCATATAAAATACGGTAATGATTTTGGGCCTCTCTGTAGTAAGTTCTATAGTTCTATTGGATATTTATATGAGTGTAGAGCTTGTGATTGGCAAATATTTCAAAGTCGTTCTCTGGTTGGTGGATTTTTCTAATATACTTTCCTATTGGTTGATATATTACACAAAGAAGATTCCAAGTTGCCTGAACTCTCACATATATGGGGGGAGGAAGGTTGTTACTCAGACAGCTTTAAGCAAACCCTACAGAAAGGTTGAAATTTTTACGACAAACCAATTATGTATTTCACATCTTTGGTTATAAATCTATGAAAGAGACTGAAGTTTGAAAGAAATTCTTTAGTATATAAAAACTTTCTTTAAAAAATCGACAACTGTCACCTTCCTCCCCAGCCAGCTGTAATATAGTGTGGTCCAACAGCTGATTACTGGGTTCCGAAATCCGAAGTGGCAGTCCAACCCCGCTCATCTAGGGGTATGCTGTGGACCATAATAACCATCATAATGGAGTCAAGTTTCCTAAATACTGGTCCATTTTAGTAATTTTCCATCCTCGACAGTCAGCACGTCTTAGATAATTGTTCCATCTTCTACTACAGATGTATTATTGGCTGAGAGAAAATAATGAGTGTCAATTTTGTGACTAAAAAGCTAGAGGGACAATCACTTGGTGAACAATTTAACGACATTGTTGAAAAAGTGAGTACAGTTTTAAAATTAGGGTTTAAGTACCAGTTTGTTATTCAGAAGCCTACATAAAAGTATATTGTCGCGTCATTCAAATTATGTCTTCTTCATATTTTAATTAAGTTTGATCTGTATACTGAGTCTTTAATTTGGAAGTTAAGAATACCTCATCTTTGTCATCCTGCAATAAGATCTGCATTGCTTAATTGAAATGTTAATTTAGTTTCGACTTAAATATATAAACGTTTGATGTTGTGAGTAAAGAATATAGTAGAAACTTTAAAGATGGCGCGGGAGTTCCGTGTATTATAGACTTTCACACATTCCTCCGTCTATATATTATTATACTGCACAAATAGACAGTACTAGACAGTTCGTAAGTTCTTACACTTTTTAAAGTTGTATTAATAGCGTTAAATAATTAAATCAATAACTAAATTTATACATCCTTTTACCGAACCATCCCCCCCCAGACAGACAAACTATGTTGCAGTTTGACAGGGTGAATTAATGTATGGGGTCTGTCCTAGTGAACGATTTTTAGACCCCTCCCCCCCAAAAAAATATTACGAAATTAGTAAATTAGTATTTATTTATTATTATTTAGGGTTAGATTAGGTTAAGATACTTTCTGGGCCGAGCGCTGCGGCTAGGATAGGCTAGGGGGCCGAGCGCTGCGGCCACGGGTTAGGTTGGTTAAGACACTTTCTGTGCCGAGCGCTGCGGCTAGGACAGGCTAGGGGGCTGAGTGCTGCGGCCACGGGCTAGGTTAAGGAAAGACACTTTCTGTAAGATCCATGTACAAAATTGATAGGAGGGGGGGGGGGGGGGTCCAAAAATCGTTCTTTAGGAATATACCAATGTATGAATCAACTCTAAATCTATAACAATTTTCAAACAAATTTCAAAGTTTTTACATTTGTTTGTTGCCCAAAATGTCAGGATAACGTTTTTGAATTAGGAATATCGTTTTTTATTATATTTTTAGATCGGTTTAATTCACAGATGGTTGGATTTTAAATCTGAAATGGTCATAATAAAGTTTACTCACCTTTTTCACCTGCGAACTTGCGATCTAGAATTTCTTTAAATGAAGCTTTGGACAGAAATGATAAAAAAGTGCCTATTCAAAAATTTAAGAACTCAAGCAAAAAACCGTACAAACTACATGGACTTCTGGATTTTTAGTAATACAATTATTCAGATAACTGTAAATTGCGTACATTTGTTGATCATAAAACTGTTGTAGATGTAGATTTGAAGTACGCATAGATGCCAGAGCTAGCCTGAAATATGAGTTTAATTTAAAAGCCCACATCCACCACATTCCGAAAAAAAAATATTCTCAGTTGTCGGTTTTTGAATACAGAAAGCAAGATTGTCGTAAATACATTATTTTTGTGTGGAACGCACATGATTAAAGTTTTATAACCGGCCAATGTTTATTAAAGTCATCGCGAATTGTATTTTTTTCTAAGGTTGTGTAATTTTTTTTTTTAAGTCGACAAAGACATTTCAGAGTATTCAGAAATTTGCAAAGAGGGGGGGGGGTACATTTTTTATTTCTAGGGGGGAGGGCATTGGGACCCAAAACCTCAGTACAACTTTAGTGTATATATTTCTTTTGATAAACTTTAGTATATTTTACTACATTTTTACATCCATTTATTATTTATTTTTTGCTTAATGATTTATTATTGATTAGGTACAAGAAGACAGTGGCACAGAATCAGACGAAGATATTGAGCTAACTGAAAGGGAGAGCGATAGTAAGTTATTTAACGGTTATCCCGCCATCCAGCCCCTACGTCCTACATGGCATTAAAACTTTTGAGAGAATGTGAATTTAGATAAGTTGAAAAACAGCGGTCGATTGAGTATCCCCTGGACAAGTTCTTGTATAACGCATGATTATCTTCGTTGTAATTCAATTTTATTTTATTACTTTTGATACTTTTTACTCTAAAACTTATTTATTTTTTCCAATTTAGCGAAAAAAAACTTTATTTGGTGTTCCGTGCATACATATTTAACATTAGGGGGGAAATATTTTTAAACAGGGTTGGGAATGATCTTATTATACACCAGTTGTAGTTTTTATGTGAAAAAAAGAAATGTTGGCTGAGAGAAGGTTTTTTGAAATATATATGATCTTGCCGTTTCGCTGTAGATAAGACAGGTATTTTTCCCCTAGGCGTGAATGCAACTTATATCATACGATGTTTTAGACGTTGACAGCGGTATATCACTGAACCTGCGTTCAGCTGCGAGACTAGGAGGTCGAAGTAGACAGTTGACGCCACTAGTTAAGGAACCTGTTGCAGTTGTTTTCTCAGAGACAATGATTGTAGGGGAAGATAATGACAACCACTCCAGTGAGGAGGAGCTGGAAGATATTATTGGCTCTGCACGGAAGAAGGTTTATGTAAACGGAACTGTTCCTACAGCCGCGAAAACTGCACCTGGTCGTATGAGTGCCGTAGAGAAGCGGAAATGGAGTGAAGTAGAGCAAGGTGCCAGAGCTGGTTCTGGTAGTTCTGCAGATGAGGAGGTCAGTTAAAGAGTTTTCTCCTTAATCCTTTATTCTAGATTAATTCAATATTTGACCTCAAGCCCAAGACTTAGTAAAAGTAACGTCTAATGCAATGTGCAATGCAAAAGAAGCATTCTGAAACATGTATACAGTTTTTTTCCAAATTTGTTTAACCCCATACACGCACCTAAGTTCGATGAACATCATTCTTAAAATTGGAAAATTGAATTTTTAGAAATTAAATAATCTTGATGAACAATTTTTTTAATTTTAAAATCTAGTTTGAAAGGAACTGAGTTTTTGTAACAAACTCTACTTTTGTAATCTCTTTATCTTTACTACCAATGTCGTAGAGCTTTGATATTTCAAACTACTAATTCTGTTGGACCAAATAATCTAAGTTTGAAATATCAAAATCATAAGATTATAAAGATATATAGGGATTAGACAATAAGAGTTTGTGACAATAACTCAGTTCCTTTACGTTCCTAAGTTGTACGTTACTTATTAATCAAAATCCGGTCAACAGTTTATATCAAAGGTTGATGTTTTCTCTGTAAGCGTATTTGCGATCTGGAAACTGTATAAGTTTGTATTGTGTATTGTATTGTATTGATTGTATTGTGTCCATTTAGTTTATATCTACATGGATGCCACAATTCACATCAAAATTATTCAATAGCTGTTCCTGTACTTAGATTATCGCACTGACGCATTTTTTTAACTGAGGTTTTTTTTAAAGATAGAAATTCGTTGTATTATATTTCTCATTGTTACTCAGACAAGGTTAAAAGGATACCGTTGTTAATAACATGCCTCTCAATGTATAGAATTGGAGAGTTATTTTAAATGAAGTCTCTTTAACAACATCTGGAAAGTGTGAAATATATTGAACATTTAACTTCCAGGTGAGTGAGTTGATGGAGGGTGTTTACACCCCTGTACAGTTCTGCACATCCCCTCCCCTCAACGTTTACAAGCCTCGGCGGTCTCAAAGCCCGCCACCAAAACTTTTCCATATGGCGCCCTCAGGGGTGGATCAAGAACAGGCGCTTGGAACAGAACAGCGACCTGCAAATCAGACAAATTTGAGGTGAAAAATATTTTGATTTTTAAAAGATTATTACAGAGAGAGACATTGACGATCACTTAGGGGTCAAAAAAAGAAAAATTAACTTTTTTATAAGAATCAATAATAATAATGAGTTGCTACAAGTTGTAAAGTTGTCTAATAATGCAAAAAAAAATTAAATATTATTTTTAGAGAGGGGCAGAGATCATCTGGAGCATTCCGTCCTCGTGTTCGAGGTTCAGGAGTTCTTGTGCTCCGAGGACAAGAGGAGGATGAGGAGGGGGAGGAGAGGTCACCTAACAAGCGACACAGAACAACACCAAGACCTCATAACATTCCTAGGCCAAGTTTGGACTTCGAAAAAATGCAGCAGGTTAATTTTTTTTAACTGGATAAATTAATTAGGTAGTGTTATTTATGAATCGAGAGAAACCCTGGTTTGGTTATTCTTCAAAACTATATAAAATATGTGTTTTAAATATATGAAAGAGATATATAAAGCGAAGTTTGCGTTTTACTACAGTTGGTAATCAAAACATAAACAAAGAACAATCTCTAGAAGACTAAATCGTTACTCAATTACGTTTTTTGGGACAACCTAAATAAAGAATTTATGTCTAAATGGAATCGTGTTTTCTCTAATTGTGAAAAATATAATCAAAAATGAACTAAAATAAAAATAAATATTTACAAACAATAGACGCAAAATCAAAATAATAAAATTGATAAGATACAATGAACTGTAATGTTCAGAGATTTAAAAAAAATAAGGTCTTTGGCTGTTCATGAATGAAAAAACACTTAACATATCATATTATAACTATTCTTCTGAACCAGCAATAATAATAATAAAATGAAAATTGTGTTTTCAGTTTTATGATAAATTATTATTAATCAATTTTAATATTAATTATGTATTCTTATCGAAATTATATTTTTATTTAGGATAACATTGTTGTTAAAAAATACCTTCCTGTAGAATAAGAAGTCTCCGCATATATATTAATATAAACGTTAATATGCAACAAATTGAATCCGTGTTTGTTAATCATAACAAACTCGTTCAAACCTTTCCCGTGTCCATTTAAAATTTGCAGAGCCTATTTTTTAGTTGAATTTTTGTTTCATTCACTGGAAAAATTGTTATTTTTGTTGTCTATTTGAACTAAACTAAATTATTTACAATTTCAGATTAAAACAAAAGTTGTTACGTCTTGGAGACAGGGGGCGGAACTATCTCTATTCTGCTGGTAGCTCGAAACATCTACCAAGCAGTTATGTAATAAAACGATTTAACGTAGTATGTGCTGCTTGTCCCTACCAGCGTACAAGCAGGTCTCTCAATTGTTGTCAACTGCCAGTTAAAGACTGTAGTTAAAAGTTTTTACAGTGTAAGGTCTGGGTAGATAGTGTTAGAAGTGCTTTATTGTTTATTCATTCATTCTTGCTGAACAAAGGTTTATTTTCATAATATATTTTACATTTGCCCGAGAGATAATAAGTTATGATTGGCTACGATTGACACAAAAAAAAAAGACTTTTAAAACAAGTATTGAATGATACATTTATTTTTAGAATCTCTTTTATAGGTTCTATCTACCTTGTCCTAACACTGGGTACAGAGATCTTCCGTTTAAAAGAAGTAAAACACTTATTTGCAAAATTTCAATTTATCAAATTGTAATGCGCGCATGTTAAAGTTAAGATAAGAAATTTAGGTTGTATATATGAAGATTTAAAAATATGTTCATAAATCTCTGAACAGGAGCACTTACCGATCGAAATATTAAAAAAAATAACTAGTTATGAGATCTCTGTACAGTGTACCCTCTTCAACTGATCTGGAAACTAAGAATTGTGATGAAATACCACCTCCGCCAAGATTTAACCTTCCCCCTCCTTAGATATTTTTTAATCGAAGGGTTACTCAACCCCCCCATTTAAAGATGTTGTGCCTCCATTTCTAAACTATCTAATTTTAAAATGTAAGGCAAAATTGCCCTCCCCTTGACTGTAGTCATCTTTGGCTAAAGGCGGTATTCTGCAGGTCTGTTGACACAAACCATTGTCTTTCCTTTCACATTCTTCAATTTAGAGACTGTTTCAATGTAAAAATTTTAATAAATATGTATAAAGGGACCCTCCGCTGGCATTGAATTCGAAAATGGCCTTTTATCTGGTATTGATCACGCATATAATTTTCCCATAAAAACGGAAACAAATTTATTAAATCTTTGCGTATTGTCCCTTTATGTAAGGGTTTTGATCATTTATTATTCTCCCGTGCTCACATTGTATGATGTTCGTTAGGAGACACATTTAATGTTCAGCTCTAAATTACCTCGTTTATTTAAACCTACTGTAAAAAAAAAAAAACTATGTAATTGTCCGAATTTTCTTCTGATCATTAAGGAAATATACCGGCCGATAATTGTGAAGAAATTATAACATTAAATGTCTGGGTGAGGGCTATTTTTATTTCATCTATTTGTTCAGTATTTCATATTTTGAAACCTTACCTTTTACATATATATAAATTCATGCATTTTATCAAGTATTCAAGCACTGAGCTGAGGTTTCAACAAAGATTGATTAAGATTTTAATACCCCCTTGAATAGAAGAAATTAAGCATTCTAAGTTTCGCTAGTTGGCGATGAAATGTTTTTTTATTCTATAATAAACGAATGTACACTATACATAGATTTCTTCATTAACCACGGAAGTGGATTATATAATATTCAAAAATTGAATTTTTGTTAACTATATTCGTTGGATTAATATGTATGCTTCTCTGCAAAACATTTTGAAGAATCCCCCCCCCATAATAAAATCATTCCACAGAGCTATTACACATTGTCTTTGTTGGACAAAATTATTTCTTTAGAGGATTTTTGGATTGGCAATTAACTTATGAATATATGATATATATTCTATTGTTTGATATATACACAATTCTTGGATTAAACCCCAACTATAATAGATTATGATTAAATATTTAAGCATGATACTCTAGTTTCAGATATACATATATTAAACCGAAATACATTCATAAACCAACGCTTTTGTGAAATATTGTAATAAGATCGTAGTTTGCAATTTTATCCAACATTGAAATATTTGGTTTCACTGACGTGCCTGGTGTCTATTAAGAACCAATGAGAGTTTACGGCGGTGGGATCGATTTATCCATCCATCGTTCTATTCAAATATCATAATCCACATGTAAATTAGCAGCAGTTATCATGTTTATGGAGAATTTTTCCAGTCTTAGTACTTATTTTTAAACATGTTTAACTTGGTCAAGCTCGTCAAGCTTCATAGTAAAACTTTGTTTTCCTTTGATTAAATCTGATTAAACAAGGAATTGATTATACCTCATCATTAGATAAACGGAAACTTTTTAAAGAATCAAGGTTACATATCTTGAAGATAAATAGAAAGTAATACCTCTAAAATGTCACATTGCACATTCAACGCCTGCCAACATAGCAGAAAGTTTGGTTTGACCAAGGGCGTAATGCAAGGAAAGTTAATTGCGGTCGTGTATACTCTGCGTACACATTGAAACCAGTTTTCTTTGGGCGGAATTTGTAAACAAGAATAGATGCATCAGTGTTCGATTAGTATGACCAGAATATTTCATTGATTTTTTTATGTGAAAGATGGATCCCATGTAAGGCTGTGACATCCGTCTTGTGTTTACATTACCGCCCAGAGACAGTGCACTGCAGTACAAATGATGTGTACACTTCTGAAATAACTTTCCTTGCATTACATCCTTGGGTTTGACAACATTTATAGAAATCTATCCTGATTTTTTATATATATATATATATATCGATATCTGCACTATAGAAAGCAATAACTTTAATGAACTGGTATAATGAATCTGAAAAATATGTCGATGTAAGAAGGTTTTGAAAAGATATTTGCAGTTACCTAAACCAAAAAGCTTTATTAAGATTGAAACTTTTTACTACAGTGAAACCCTTTGTAAAGAATACATCAGAAGAATTTATCAAATGTCGTCTTGACAATTTTTCAATGATTTTTATACTAAATTACGTAAATATCAGTATTTGCGAAAATAAATAAATAGCAATGAATATGCGGGAACAGTTTTAAAGAGTTCCATATAATCATTTAATTAAAAAACTAAATATCTGCAACATTCCATTATCAGAAAGTGAAGAATACGACATTTAATGAATTCTTTCGATGTATTCGTTATTAAGGGTTTTACTGTATAAACAGGTTTTTCAAAATCTAGATTTTGGACCTATATGAGTTGTCATTATTTCCACTTCCTTATGTTAATACACACTGCATGGAATATAATTATTCTGGGAGATATCTTGGAAAAAATTCAAACATTGTTTGAATTTTTCGGTTAGTTGAGTTGGACAATGGGGTTAATTATAGGAAATTTAAATCTCATTCCGGGGGAAAAGATACTGCATGGATTGGATAGATGGGTTGATTCTACAGGGTGTTCAAGGCTACTTGAAGATCTTTGAAACAGTTTACGGCATTTGTTTGTAAACCAAATTTCAAAAGTTAAATTTTTGAGTTAATAGTCTCAAAAAGTCTTGGCATTTCCAAAATGAGGTCTGCCTTTTTGTGCTCTTACCGGAGATATGATTAATTTTGATTAAATATTGACAATTTTGGTTTTATCTATATGATAAAACAAGGCATTCGTATAAATGTTGCGTATAGCCGGCCAAAAGGCTTGACCGATTGGGCTGAATTTTTTTGTGGACACTTAGGGGTGGCTAGGGGGTGTTAAAGGCTAGAAAAAAGTCGAACTTTATTTTTGAAAAAAAATTTCACGGTCAACGCCTGGCCCTTCAGCTAGTATTGAATAAAATTCCCTATAACTCCGGCAATATAGGCAATAAACAATCAAGTAGGATTGAGGATTAAAAAAATCTAATTGAAAATGGAGAATTGTCCTATGTAAGCAATGTTAAAGGCCTTTTCAGAACAGGTTTTATTTTAAATAATATCTTTTCTATCTTTTATTCCTATTACTAGCTTTGCTGATATATATTCTGAAAACTTTGTCATAAAAACCCAAAAATAATGCAAACATACCTTTAATGAATTCTAAAGTGAAGAAAATATTTAATACCAAATAGATTCTAGTACAATAGATGGCAACGTAGAATTTGTACACTATTAGTAAAGCTGTATTCTGACGTCACAAGTGTCAATTCAGTTTTATGTGTCCGACAAAATTATTAATAATAGTGAATGATATATACTTTGGAGAAAAAAACTCAGCGGGAGCGGTTGAACCAGCGGTTGAGATCTAGCCTAGACTCTACGCCTAGCCTAGACTCAGAATAAGAAATGCTTTTTTGCTCAAATTTAAAATTTGTTCAGCCGCTAACTTTTTTGATTTCAACCGCTGGTTTTCAGATTTTTCAGAACTTTTTTACTTTCAACCGCTGGTTTAAAGATTTTTCAGCAACATTTTGCTTACAACCGTTTTCCGATATTTCAGCAACTTTTTTGCTTTCAGCAGCTGTTTTTCCGATTTTTCAGCAACTTTTTTGCTTTCAACCGCTGGTTTAAAGATTTTTCTGCAAATTTTTGTTCAGCAACTTTTTAACTTTCAACCGCTGATTTAAAGATTTTTCAGCAACTTTTTTGCTTTCAACCGCTGGTTTGAAGATTTTTCGGCTAATTTTTTTTCAGCAACTTTTTAACTTTTAACTGTTCTGCTGATTTGAAGATTTTTTAAGCAACTTTTTTGCTTTCAACCGCTGGTTTAAAGTTTTTTTAGCAAAATTTTTTCAGCAACTTTTTAACTTTTAGCCGCTGATTTAAAGTTTTTTTAGTAACATTTTTGCTTTCAACCGCTGGTTTAAAGTTGCTGAAAAATCTGAAAAACAGCGGTTGAAATCAAAAAACTTGCTGAAAAATCTGAAAACAGTTGAAAGCAAAAAAGTTGCTGAAAATTCTTTAAAACAGTGGTTGAAAGCAAAAAGTTGCTGAAAAAATCAGAAAACCAGCGGTTGAAAGCAAAAAGTTGCTAAAAAATCAGAAAACGTTATTCATGAAAAATTATATTTCATTTGTTGAAAAAGTGCGATTTTGCGGTTGAACAAATTGTAAATTTCTTCTTAAATTTTTATTCTGAACTGTGTAGAGCCTAGGCTAGATCTCAACCGCTGGTTCAACCGCTCCCGCTGAGTTTTTTTCTCCAAAGTATATAGCATTCAATAATAGTGATAATTTTAGATTTAAGTGCTTATCTTGCAGTAAAATTAGTGCAATTTTATTTGTTCTTTATTTTCGGTTTTACATTCTTCATCTTATCTTGTCAAAAAAATGTGAGAAAATTTCGTGCTCCTTGTTATATTTGGCACTTGTGACGTTGTGTATAATTGGTCCATTTCACTGTTACCACCTATTGTACTTGATAATCTATTTGCTTCGTACTGTTTTGAGTTCAAGTAGAGCATATTCTTGAGGAGAGGTGAAGATATTATTATTTACATCGTATTCTGGTCTAAACTGCTTGATAACTATAATATTTGCTGCTTTGGCAACACTATATCCAGGATTTTTTAATCCTCAAGGACAAGGAATACTAACCTAAATATAGAATTTAGATAAAAGATGTTAAACAGCTGTTTAGTATATCACATTTGGAGTAAGATTAAAGAACATTTTCAAATGGTTTTATGTACCAGCAATGTACAAGCTGTTATTTTTTCTTATTGGTACTGTATATAGTACAGTGTACTTAATGTTTAAATGTGTTCATGTAACTACTAGAGTCAAAAAAAATTCTGGATATATTAACTGTTGCTAAAAAATGAATTAAGTATTTTCTTCCACCAAAAATCTATTTAAGAATATTATGTTTTCCTTTGTGCAATTTTTTAGACAAGGAAATAATTGGGAGTAAAAGACAAAAAGGAAAAGATACAATTTACATAAAACATGTTTTGAGAAGGCGTAACATAGCTCGACATCAAAACAATTTGTCCGTTTTTGTTGACATTTTTTTAAACCTCTACCTTCCTGTAAGAACACTGTGATCCTTTAGAGAATATCCCAGGACTTTTGAGATCAAGTGTTTCAAGAATCATACATGGGAAAGAAGGATGACGAATGAATTTCTCAAATAAATTCAAAGATTAAAGACGACTTTCAAATCGTCAACCTCGTAGATGATGCTGGGGGGGACCTCTATGGAAGAGCTAAAGACGACCTTTGTCTGAGCTCGAACCTAGCTTCCTCCACATACAGGGTGTCCCACATCATATTAGACCGAGAACGGGTCTAAATTACGATTTTTGGGACTAATTAGAAAATTTAATTAGAATGAATCATTTTGAAAAAAAATATAAGGGTTATATAAGAATTTTCTTGCGGAAAATGATAAGTTTTTCGAGTATTAAGGGTTTATTTTGACGTTAAAGATTAGAGATAATCTGATATGATATGGGACGCTCTGTAGCTGGATATTATAATTATGTGATACTGTTACCAGTCAATAGATATTTATTTCCTTGAATGAAATAGTTAGTTCGTTTGATTCTTGTATCGCCTTAATGTTTACAATAATTATTTTTATTATGAAATGTGCTTACTTGTGAAGGGTTAGAAGGGGATACGCGGACTATTAAATGGTGATAAAACAACGTTTTTGACTTCTCAAATAAAATAACAGTTTGGTTACAAAGATTTATAAATCACGAATTTTTAAAGCTTTTACTATACTTGAAATGTACGATCACTACACGAGAGGTTGTTTACGGTTCTGCCAGGGATAAGAAATGTTGGGTTCGGCCACAGGAGAACATCTTGGTCAAAGACGACCTAACAGCGAAGTAAGCTTAATTGTTTTGGTTAACACATAGTGCGACATAAGTATGGTGGATAATTTTTCCAAAATTGAGAAATGTACGAAAATGAAATGAAATATCATCAAAAACTGATTCCTATACCTTATTATTTGTTTAAAGTTGGCATTTCTTGTATAGTTATAGCCATTAAAAATAAATGTATGGGGTGGATTCTCATTTGAACTACTCCCGTTTGAACTATTGTTCGTTTGAACTATATTGTTCATTTGAACTACTGACATGACGTCATATCCTGTAGTTCAAATCAACACATTTCTTGCTCATTTGAACTATTTTTCTAATTCAGTTTTTAAATTTTTTTATAATTCGCATTAAGTTAGTTAATGACAATTAATTATGCTAACAATTACACAGAAATGTTTCAAATAAACATAAAAATAGTTTAAATGAACATAAAAATAGTTAAAATGAAATAGTTAAAATGAAAAAAAAAGTTGAAATGAACTTAAAATATAGTTTAAATATTTTTTATGTCCATTTGAACTATTTTTTTTGTCTGAATTTTAACTATTTTTACGTCTATTTGAATTATTTTTTTATTCATTGTGACTATTTTTTTGTTCATTTCAACTATTTTTTTTGTCCATTTGAACTATTTTTCCTCCTTGAACTTTTTTTTGTTCATTTCAACTATTTTTTTGTCATTTTCATTTGAAATATCTTTTTCTCATTTGAACTATTTTTTGGTTCATTTGAACTATATTTCATTTGAACTATTTTTTTCATTTGAACTATTTCATTTGAACTATTTTTTTTTATTTAAACTATATTTTAAGTTCATTTGAACTATTTTTTTTTCATTTGAACTATTTCATTTGAATTATTTTTATGTTCATTTGAAATATTTTTATGTCCATTTGAACTATTTTTTGTTCATTTAAACTATTTTTGTGTTCATTTGAAATATTTTTTGTTCATTTGAACTATTTTTATGTCCTTTTGAACTATTTTAATGTTCATTAGAACTATTTTTTGATAATAGTTCAAATGAAAATAATTCAAATGAACTAAAAAATAGTTCAAATGAGCAATATATTTACTCGTTTGAACTATTGTTCATTTCAACTACTTACGTGGTACCACGTGCAGTAGTTCAAACGAACAATAGTTCAAATGATCAATAGTTCAAACGGGAGTATTTCAAATGAGATAGCATCAATGTATGGTGTAGTTTTGTTTAACTCGGCTTAAATTTAAAGATATATACTGATACACTTGAAAAGATAACTTTGCAGATTTGGCCCCTTTCTTACACTCAGTGTTAGAAATGGGCCAAGTGTTAGTTTTGGAACTGGAGTATCGCGGATAAGTAAGAAAGTAATTAAAACTGCCTTTAGTGTAATTAAATATATCTAATTATACAGAACATTTGAAAATTTGGATAAGTTTCTAACGGGAAATATAGAGGTGAGAATAATAATCCTTAGTTTAGTTTCTTTTGCCAAAATAAACGTTTTAAATGAGAAGAGGCTCCATGGGAAGCACAACAAACTTTAGTAGTTTACGCTCTGGTTCACCGTATCTGTGTTGGAAATGCTCAAAGTATTTTGATGAAAAGTTACAGCTCTGGAAAATTATTAAGAGTTTCTACTTCAAATGTTAAAGTTTCCTTTCCCGAACATTTTTATTTTTTAGTTCGATATTCGTATATCTATTAATAAATTTTTATGGGAATTCTTCCTGTATTAGTTTTCTTTTTATTGAACTTCTTGTTTAACTCGCAATCTTACGTAAAATACAACATATAAGTTATCGCTCTGCGCTGCCAAGTTTTAAAAGTTAAAGTGCACGCACACCACACTAGCCTGTGCACAGAGCAATACACGCAATAGGGTTGAATATTCTTTACATTTGAATTTTTAATAATCATTCAAGAAACTTAGATTAGGTTTCTTAAATATTTTTATCGTGTTTTCTGATTTATTCTCTTTTGTTCTCCCCTGTGCGGATACGAGATGGAATGACGATTGTTGTGCAGTCGACGAACGTTGTTGCTGGAAGCGACATAAACCCTCAGTAACGTGGGAAATCCAGCTGGTTGCCCGCCGAGGAGGTTTTATAGTTCAACATTATTTGAAGAGAGCTTTGCGAATTTTAAGTTGCTTCAATAAACTTCAGCAGAGGGAAACTTAGGTTTCAGCTCTAAATCCAAGGAAATATATGTTCACAAATAATAAACAAAGAGCCTCTCAACAAACTAGAATTGAAAGATTTTCTTTATCCAAATTGAACTTTCAAAAAACCATTTATAAGGATTAAATCTTTTGGTTGCTTTTAAAGCAGGGCGGGAGGGGCTGGGGGATTTTTATGAAACTTAGACTTCTTTAGAAAGTAATATATTTTTTTTAAATAATTCTTTTTGCTTATTTATTCATTTCTTCTTAAATGGAATTTAGACGTAATTTTTAGTGACCTTTCTTTTATATAGAAAGTTTCATATCATTTTTCTTTAGAATTATTTGAAAAGGTAGAAAAAGAGCATAGGTTCAGCAACTCAAACATTCAATGAATATAAGAGTGAAAAACATCTCGAAATTCTTTATAAGTCTAGCACTACACATATGCATACACTCTCATTTAATTCAAATTTTTGGTGGGGTACTAAAGATAAATGATTAGATAATTAATTAGGAAGCGGATTTATGCTTGGGTCAATTCAATGAACAATGTTTTAGTTAATTTTTTATTTTATTGACCATTGAACATACATTTTTATAACAGGTTTTACATTACAGCTTATTCTTACTTGAAATCTGAACAAAATAAAACTTGCCACTCATCCTGCACTGGACTCTGTTAATTGTCTAAGTCATGGTAAACCTTGCCCAGCGAAAAGAAGGGATGAAACCTTTATCACTAAGGATACCGTCAGTCCGGTTAGAGAGAGAGGGTTCCTTACCCAGGTTTAAACTTGTTTTTCTTTGATCCTTTAAAGTTACATATGTCCATTATTAGTCCCAATTGTAACCTGCTCTTTGATTTTCTGTTTCTATAACTTTTCAATATTTTCTACAATCTTGAGTGTCTTTTTTTAATGTAGTGCAATTTTCTTGCATGTTATTGATGGGTGTTTATTCTGTATTTCCTTATTTACAAAAACTTCATCCGATTTGAAAATTCAGTCAAGGAAAAAACATTTTGTTTTTATTTTTTATTTATTTATGTGGATTGTTTTTAAGTTTTTTTTTCGATGCTTAGAATAGAGCTGGGCTCAGTTACACCTACAACACCAGTTAGATCACTTCAATACGGACCCAGGTTAATTAAAGTATTTTCTTCCTTCTTTTTGTCTTTTTACAATTAATTTGTACACAAAAAAATCAAGCATATTTTTTTTGCCTTTTGAAAGGGAAAACAGAGTTTTTTACATTTTTAATTCTATAGGATCTTCCAGTTCAGCAGAAGGACTGCAAAACGTTTCCTCACAAAAGTTTCCCTCATGAAATGTTTCTCAACAAAACGTTTCCTAACACAACATTTCCACCACAAAACGTTTCCTTTACAGAACATTTCCTTTACAAAACGTTTCCTTTACAAAACGTTTCGACTTTACAAAACACTTGCAACACAAAATGTTATTGCAACAAACTTGATGTAACCTATAACAAAAAGTTTCTTTTATCAAATATTTCCTGCCACAAAATATTTCCTGCCACAAAATATTTCCTGTCCCAAAATATTTCCTGTCCCAAAATAGGCTCAGTTAAAATTCATATAGTTACACTTTATATAATTACATTTCATATAAGAAACATTTTATATAATTACACTTTCTAAAAGTTACAATTTCCATAAAGTTACACTTCCTTTAAGAAACAATTCCTATAAAATTGCACTTCCAATTATTACACGTTCTATAGTTACACTTCCAACAATTACATTTGCCAAAACTTACATTTTCAAATTACTAATTGATTTAACATTTATGTGGCCGCAGCGCTCGGTCCCTAGTCTGTTCTAGCCGCGGCGCTCGGTCCAGAAATTGTCTGAACCTAAACTAGCCCAAATAAGATAAGATACAGCATATTATTTAAAATCTAAGAGGCCGCAGCGCTCGGCCCAGAATTAATTGTCTTAATCCAGCCTAACCCAAAATAATGTGGAATTATAGGAAGTATAACTTTTTATAAAATGTAACTTTATAGGAAATTTAATTATATATAGTGAGTGTAATTAAATCAAATGTAATTACTCAAAGGGTTGCAATATGAAACATTTATTAAAGAGAACATTTTGTAGCATGAGAAAGTTTTTTGGAAGGAAACATTTTGTTAAGGAAACGTTTAATAGCAGAAGACATTTTGAGGAGGGAACGTTTTGTTGCAGAAAACATTTTGTGTCAGGAAACGTTGTGAGGGTAAACGTTTTGTGGGGAAACGTTTTGTAAGTGCTCCGTTCAGCAGAATATAATTTGGGCAAATAACACCGTTTTTCAATCAAAAATATAATAAACGGTTTTGTAATAGGTTACATGGGGCAGTTATTTTAAAGGGGGATCTGGGCTGAAGGGCCCACCCTCTCCCTCCCCCATGGTCGGACCTATGTAGAATAACAGAAAAATTTTCATTTTATTGAAAAAAATTATTTTTTAGTTTTGGAATCCCTAAGTACAACAAAGGGTCAATTGAAGGATATATTCCACCGAACACGAAGAAATTGAGGTATCTATAAAGGATTTATTATTAAAACTTTGACGAATGAAAAAAGCAAAGAGAATATATATATTTGAGGGGAATTTAGAAAATCCTTCGGTATGAATTTTGTCAGTCCCTTTCAGCCTGAAAGGGAGTTCTAAGTGTACAAATCATGTAAATGTTCACAAATTATATGCAGTATAGTACATTAATACAGTATGCTCCCTAGACTATCCATTTCAATTTTGAATTTTTCTAAGCTGTTAGATAAATTTATAATGAGTTAAGTGAATAAAAAACATCATTTGATTTATAGTTAAAACGGAAAATCATCGTTTGTAAAGTGAAAGGCATAGAGACTTTGAGAAATGATCAGTGGTCAATTATAAGACCAGCCTATTTCATAATTTGTTTGTTTTTAATATTAATTTTAGATTTTCTATAATATTATATGTTCCAGGGCCCAAAAGGTAATATAGCACACATATGTGAAGTACACCTGCAGTATTGAAACAGTACAACAAAATGGCCGTTTTACACTTTTTTCTAGTAAATTCCCCTCTAATATATATTCTATTCTCTTTGGAAAAAAGCTTGTGAGAAGGATTAAGCAAAAGTCGTCTTGATGAAAATTAGTTTCACTAAGAATGAGGTTAAAGCATTGCAGTTCAACTTGATATTATGTTAACATTATTTGTAAGAGGATTGTTGAATTTCTATACTTTTTCTTTTGTTTCTTTTGTTTAAAAGAATCGAAATGGACTAGAAAAAGGTTATTTTGTTTAGTCGAGTTGTTTACAAGCTTTATCATTTTTAGTAAAGTTTATCAGCTCTAAACTGGAGTTCAGTTTTCAGATACATAAATACATTTAAAGTTGACAAATATTTGAATTAAGACAAGAACACCCTTGCTAGACAGTCAGTGTTGTTTTATGAGCAATTTTTTGGCCAAATTCTAAAACAAAGCTTGTAAATTGGTCAAAATTCCGAAATATTTAATGCCATTTTACTTATGCATAAATCCAACAAAGCGTAAGAATTTTGTGCAACTGGAACAACGCCACTTATAAATTAACCAGCAATAGTTTATATACACCTTTAGATATATTTTAGAATGAGAAGCTTTCTATGGGTTAAACCGGCCCTAGAGAGTCCTGCTTCAGCTCTTTTTTCTCAGGTATGCATTTTAATGAATTTTAAACATTCTCTGACCTTCAACCCTCCCCCTCCATCATAACTTTCCTAATTCCGCTCTCATAAGTAACATGTTTAGTTGGTTCCTGTTTTGTTGGTGAATATTGCTGCTCTCTCTAGCGGTCTTGCTTTAGGCTTCTCAGCAATTCTTTTGCCTCAGATAAGACCTGTAAGCTATAATTCAATCAAAGTAAATAAGTGTGTTAAACACCTTTTGACAAAAACTACCAACCCTATTCCCTTAATATAGTATTTTTTGGTATGTTATAAGAAACCATACTGAAAAGATTTTGTAAAAAATGTTTACGTAATTTTTGAAGCGATGCCATTAAGTATTAGTAGAGAATTTTACATTTCATATAAAAAATGGCAAATAAAAGTAATGTAATTGTGCAATAAATTTTTTTCAATTGTGGTTTCCACAAATACCGATCAGAACAAAATTATTAAAAATTATATTTTACTTTGCTAGTATACATTTTTTTTTGTGTTTTGTTTTAGCTGAACCATTATAAATTATTATTTTGTATTTTGTGTTTGAAAATAAATACTATAACTATATGTTCTGATGATTGTTGGTATAGTAAAAAAAACTCAATTTTTCCAAGGATTCTGAGAGGCTTGTGGATTTAAGTCATCATATTTACAACTTCACCACTCAACATCGACCCTTCACTGCAAGCTTGGAACAAGGGTCATGGATAGGTAACTAACTATCGAAGAATAAAAGTCGATAAATATCAAATGTATGTCTGTTTCTTGCCAAACATTTCCACATATTAAGAATGGGAACGGATAACTCTGTAAGAGAAATATAGCGTCAATATGTGTGGGCTGCAGTCTGCACTGCAAGTTTTTGCGAACATGACATTTCTGCTGTTTAATCAATAAAAATTCTCTGCATTTACTTATTGCTTTAGAATAGTGCTTATATTAATTATATTATTATTTGTAACGTTTTTCATGAAACACATAAATATCTTTTATTTGCAATTGTTAATTTAGCCAGTATTTTCGGAATTGGGGCGGTTTTTGGTGGTCTTTCCTCTGCAGTTCTAGGAAACAAGTACGGAAGGTAATGTACCTTTATTATATAATGCTTTTGAAATAAATTAAAAATTAATTTATAAACTTTTGTTGAACCATTTTACTGTCTATAAATTCGTCTTTTTAGACGTGCGAGTCTATTGGTGTACTGCTTAGTTGACCTACTAGGTTGGTGTTTAGTAGCTGGTTCCCAGGATCTAGGAATGATGCTAGTTGGTAGATTTCTGGCTGGTAAGAGAAAAAAACCGAAAGTTAAAAAATTAAATATTCAATTCTTTGTTCAAAGGTTTTGCAGCAGCCGGATACTCACCTTGTGTTCAAATATATGTTGCAGAGATAACTCAGGTTAAAAAAGACAAAATCCGTTTTGCGTAATATTTAATCATTAAAGTATTAATAATATTGTGGCGGATATGAATGTCGTCATCTGAGTTGTTTCCAGAGAAATCCAAGGGGGCGGATTCGATCAGCTGATTCTAACTTGTGATATTTATTCCATGTTTTGTCTAATTTTTATTTTGCAACTTAATTGGAAAAAGCCTTATTTTGTCTTTTGCAATGAAAAGCTGCTTTTTTAAACATTAAATTGATATCAACATGCTATAAATTCTTTTCAATTATATTATGTGTATCATTTGAATTAGAATTTTTAAATTAAACAAATTTTTCAGGGTCTGAAAAAGGTATTTGGAGAACGGAAATATTATCGACCGTTCCTGATTCTCAATATTCTATTCCTATTTATGCTTTTCTCAGGAATGCACTTATCTGAAATAATTTTACTAACATTTAATTTATTTTTGGATAGAAAAAAAGAAAATGAATCAATATTATTTGACAACTTGTTGATAAAACCAAATTTATTTCATTGTTATTTTATTCTTCAAATACGTTGCTACAGGAAAGTTTGCTATTGAATTTTATGCTGTCGATATCTTTATAAAAGCTGGAGGACACATCGATAAATATGCTTCTGCCGTCATCATTGCAATTATTCAACTAGGTAACTAACAAAATTACTGATTTCGAATTAAAATGAAGCAACGATCGATATCTTCTAATTAAATTATTATTTGATCATTTGATTTTTTTTGTAAAAATTGAACGTTTAGTCAAGATGTATTTCAACAAAAAAAACAGTTGAAATACATCTTCATTTAGTTGGCTCTCTGCTGTTCATCCCTTTGGTTCGAGTTTGTTCCAGAAAGCTTTTGATTATCAGCTCTTCGTTCATCATGTCATCTGCACTTGTTGTCTTAGGTATTTACTATTTATTCATTTAATTAGCTGTATTTTTTATTAAAAGTGAAATTTTAATGATTATCTATATATAAATTTGGCTTGTCTGCCTGTCTGTTTGTATCCAATAAACGTCAAAACGGATGAACCGATCGGGCCCAAATTTTTTGTGGGACATCTAGGGACCCCAGGGAAGGTTTATGAATGATTGAAATTTTAAATATTTGTCTCCATCAAAAATCGATCTTCATTAAATTTTTAAAAATTTAAAAAATCCACGAAATTTTTTGTGAAAATCCGCGAATTATTTTTGTTTTGTTTTACGCTGTACACAAAGAGAACATGTTCACAATTAATTTATAAGATGGGCGCGAAGCGCCCTCTAAGGCTAGTTATTCTAAATTTCTGGATTTAAATTCTACCATTTGATCTGTAAAATTCAAATAGATCATTTAGATGAGGACATGCAATAGCACAAACTGATAAAGCATTTTGGTAGGACATGATATGACATTCCCATTCATTTTGTTGTACATTGATTAAAATGATTTAAGGTTGCAGTATGTACGCTCAAGTGGAGGATAGTTTAATGTCTGATATGGCAGGATTGGACTGGATTCCTCTACTTTCTGTGGTTGTGTACATGGTTGCAGCACCATTAGGATTATGCAGGAAGACATGATATATATATGAAGCAGTAATCTCTGTTTTTCTGTCTGTTTGTTGGTATGTCTGATCATAACTCAGAAATTGCTTAACCGATTTGCCACTAATTTTTATTGGGGAATTCGGTAGAACCACGGGATGTTTTAAAGTTTGGTTTTAAAATTCTAAATTGAGAGAGTTAACTTCTATGGAAACCAAATATTTCCAGGCAGACCTTGGTTCTCAAGCAAAAATCATATCTATATATAAATTTGGCTTGTCTTTATGTTTGTCTGTTTGTTTGTATCCAATAAACGTCAAAACGGCTGAACCGATCGGGCCCAAATTTTTTGTGGGACATCTAGGGACACCAGGGAAGGTTTATGAATGATCAAAATTTCAAATATTTGTCTCCATCAAAATTCGATCTTCATAAAATTTTTGAAAATTTTGAAAATCCACGAAATTTTTTTTGAAAATCCGCGAATTATTTTTGTTTTGTTTCACGAAGTACACAAAGAGAACATGTTCACAATTAATTTAGAAGCTGGGTGCGAAGCGCCCTCTAAGGCATGACAAACTTTCAGGCCTCGAATAATTATTGTCATTTCAGGAATGACTTTAAATATTTAGAAAAAAATGCAATATACCTGAATTGGGTTCGGAAAAAAGGGAGGTTTTAATTTAAAAAGTTTGGAGTTCAATTTGACGCAAAAACAACGTTTATCACACAATAGCTGAAAAAAAATCCCAAAATGAGATTTTTTTGTGGAATTTTTGTTATTCTTACAAAATCAGGGGTAGTTGTTTGCCTAAACAATATTTGTGTTTAAGAATTAATAAGTGTGTATACGAATAAATTGCTTAATATTATGTCTTGGTTTTAGTATACCATTTATGTATGTAGCTGAATTTTATCCGGCAGAATTGAGATCTCTCCTAGGTTGGTATTTCTAATTGAATTCTATAATGATAACCTTTAACGGATGTTTTAGAATACTTTAGACATTTCCTACGACAAACCCAAATGCCCTTTACACGCCCTTTTAATTTCAGGTGGTATGACTATCGCAATCTCTAATATAGAATTGTTTCTTGTTGTAAAGACATTTCCCAACCTAGAGGAGAGTATAGGGGACCATGGCGTGTTCTGGTTATATGCAGGTTTTATTTTATCACAATCATTGAAAATCTATTTATACTGCTTTTTCCTTTTCTTTTATCTAGTTATTAAGAAATAAAAAAACGTCTACATCTTGACTTAAAAAATATAATAATATTTACTTTTTTCAAGGAGCTTGTTTTCTTGCGATATTCTTCACATTCTCCTATATACCAGAAACAAAAGACAAATCCTTAATGCAGGTACTGATGAACATATTTAATCCTCCTATTTGCCCCTAAAACGTACTTTAGTCTTTTTTCAACCCCGTTTTTTTCCAATAATACGTTAAGTAACCAAATAAGTTTTATACTCATATGATGTATATGTTCAATGTTTATTGTTTATTTAAACATATTATTCAAGGTTGAGGGAAAATTTGATAGATTACGTAGCACTGCTAGGGCAAGCCCTTGGGTAACTCCCCTTCCAAGCCCTTCCGTTAGTTCTGTTAGGTAATTTTCTAACTAAAGTTAAAAAAACATGGCTTATTTTGCCTTTCTTAATGTTTTAATCTTAATAACATTTTTAATGTAGTACGCCGACATTATTTTTCTTGCCTTGCTTAATCAGCTCTATACAGTTCAATTTAGTTGAAAATTAATTAAAAATCTTTTGTCAACAATTTATGTTTTGGGATAAAAACTTTGTCTTTAAATGAAATGACTGGCTAGGTATGGTAGCTGAACTGAGAGTGCAGTATTATATAATAGAATATCATGGTTCATTTGATACCTTTAAGACGATTTTTCGTTCTATTTTTGCAACACAACTGATTGCAAACTCGCTCTTCAAAAGCTGGAGGTTTAATAAAAAATATCGATTTTAAAAATTATTTATTAATCCGGATCAAAAACGTTGAACTAATTCTGCTATAAACTAATTTAATTGATATCTTCTTTAAAGAAATGTGTTCCTAACTAACAAATTAGTGCATATAATTATTGTTGGGTTATTAAATGATTTTTAAAAATCGAACCTTGTAAGCTAATTTCCAGAGTTATCCAAAATCGTGATTTTAGGAGATTGAGTTTTCAATCTTATGCAACACTAACAACCATAGAACGTAAAAACTTTTTAGGTATCAAATCAATCCTGATATTCTATTTCAGCAAACTGCATCTTAGTTCAACTACTATACCTAGACAGTCACTCTGTTTTGTTTAGGAAACTTCAAGTTCAAACTTTGATGTTTACCCAGTAGAAAAGAAAAATTGTTAAATCAAAATCCATATTGGAATATTTATAAGAAATGGAATCATCCTGATCCAGTTCAATCCAGTTTATCTTGTCAGATTTAGAGGTACAATTCGCCGTAACAATATTGTATTAAATATTTTAATTATTTTCTGTTTAAATAAAGTTTAAGATATTTAGTCGTGAATGTAATGGTAAGAAGAGAGTCAGTCAAAATATAAATCTTTCTCTGAAATAATTAAAGAAAATTAACTTCAAGACATTTATTTATTCAAATTTATCACAGCCCCCATCCCTCGTGTTCTTTTTGATCCAATCCCTAAATCAAAAATGTTTTTTTTTTATATTTTTAACTTAAAAAGTGTATAGTAAATTAGAAAAAATATTTAAAATAAAAATATTCGAAAAAATTCTTTTAAGAAAAGGATTTTATGTTAGGTCAAATACCTAAAACTCGATATTTTTGTGTAAATACCAGGACGGTTGACCCTAGAATAAAATTAGCTTATCAATAAAAATGCTAGTAAAAAACTATGTGGATCTTTAAAATATTAACCTTCTTGTAAATCTAGTTTTGTGTTTATGTAGGAAATTAGTGCAATTTTATGGGTGTTAAAAAAATTTCACACTTTTTTCACTCAGAGGTTTTATTTTTAACCGATCATAATGAAAAGAATATCATAATGTTTATAGGATGTTTGGACGAAGGGGTAAAAAAATATCGGATTTGGTCAACCCTGCTCTGAATAAAGGCTCATTATCTCTTGGGGATGAAACTGATCGAGATCAGCTTACATGCAAATTAAAAACATTAACAAAGGTTTGGGAGTTCAAGAAATCTGTTGAAAGGTATTTAAAATAACATTAAAACTCTAAAAAGATTTGTTGGTTACCAGATTACATGTTCAGGGTGCAGTTACTATGACAAGACACCATTATGTAAACCATTAACCTATATATCTTACTCCGTTGTAAGGTCGTCTTTGAACAATATTTACTCCGGTGGCCAAACCCAACATTTTTATAGCTCCGGCAGGATTCTATAAACGACCCCCTTGTGTAATGATTTCATTTCAAAAATAGAAAAAAAATTAAAAATTCGTAATTTGCAGTGAACAAATTTTGCAACGAACAAATTTTGCAACTAAACTGTCATTTTATTTTCAGAAGTTTAAATGTTTTATTCCTGATCACTAGAAACCCCTTTTCAATCTACTTGCGCTCAATAGTTGAAGCTATTTAAAAACCCGTTATTATTCATAACCATATATGTTAAAGATTCATAAAAATATTTTATCTTTTTTAATGTAATCATTTTTATAAATCAATACTGGATTATTGTCGACTACGTCAGTAGAGAGAGTGGGGAACCCGAAATTGATGAACTTATAGACGCCCTGGGACGATAACCTAGGCTCCGACCTCCCCGGGGAAATCCACTTAATATTCTTAGACGCCCAGGGATTCACCCCTTTGGAAAATCGCCTAATTGATCTTCCATAGAGGCCATTAGCTCTACAACCTAACCGTCCTCCAGTTACATCACTTTTTTCAACAAGAACAGCTGCCAGAGACTATCACTATAAGTTGATAGGGCCAGATTTTAATTCAAGAAGAAATGCACCTTACTGCTTTAAACATTTTGCTGGTGTAAATCAACTCTAAACAGCCACTGCAGCTAGCCTCAAATGCTGTCAGCAATACTTGAGAGTAGTTGAGGCATAGTTAAAAAGAAGATTGCAAGAAAAAACTGTAAAAATCTCAGTCAACTGAAGCACAGTGATGTGGGAACAGGTAATTCAGTTCCATCCCACATGAAAAAGAGCCTTCATTAAGCCTCTCTGAGAGAAGAAGAAAAAACTGGGAAGTTTTCGGTTTTTTAACACCTTTTATCTGTGTATTTTTTACCGTTTTCTACTATTTGGGAGAAAAATTCATTCTAATTTATTGTTTAGCTCTTATATAGTTCTTTAAAGATTTCCTAAATGTTTGCTTAGCCACGTTTTCATCTACAAATGGGATTTTAACGTTTTCATTTTTTTGAAAAACGATCGTTTCGTTATACAAAACGACGACAAAAAACGAAAGCTAAGATCGTTTTTAAAGACGATCGTTTTTTTAAAGTTCGTTTTTAAAAACGGTCGTTTTCAAAATGATTGTTTTAATAAAGCTCGCCGTTTTGTTAACGATCGTTAACGACGTCCCTTCGTTAACAATCGTTAACGACGACCCTTATTTAACGATCGTTAACGACAACCCTTCGTTAACGATCGTTAACGACGATGCTTCGTTAACAATCGTTATCGACCACCCTTCGTTAAGGATCGTTAATGAAGAATGGAAATCGCCATGAAGGACATTTGTACTTATCAGTGAGCAGTTTTAAAGAAAATATCAAGAAGTTTTAGCTTCCCCACAACTTTTTACCTTCATATATATGACGACATTCGCTAAAGTTGCAAGTAATTATTTTTCAAAAACGTCATTTTGAATAAAGTTCGTCGTATTGTTAACGATCGTTGACATATTTATCAATGAAAAAAAAAATCAAAAACGATAGTTCTCTTTAAAAAATCGTATAAAAAACGATTGCTAATCGTTTTAATGAAAACAATCGTTTTCAAAAACAATAGTTATTCCTTTTCTAAAAGTTCAAAACGTGTGGGTCGTTTTTAAAATGAAACAAAAAACGATCGTTCAACGATCGTTTTCAAAACCTATTAACAACCCTACATATCTGTATTTGTATTAGTTAATTTATCTGTTTGTTTGATCCATATAGTTCAAACATCAAATATGCAGTACGCTTTCGGAGTAAACGCGTGTGGGGAGGTTTTGTATCTTGAATTTTACTCAGTTTTCTCAGAACAGTTTATTAACGATGTTCCTGTGAAAATGGATAAAAATGTAGTGGATTATAGTTAAATGGAAAAAAATTCTCCATTTAAATATTTTTAGAAATCACCCCCGATTACTGTAATATACAGATTTACCTATGGAAGTGAAGTACATGGCCTTAACAATAAGTAAAGGATTAGGGTAAATCATCACGATCTATATGCTATAACCTCGTTGGGTTGATCACAAAGGAATCCTACAGATCCTCCAAACAAAAACCGTAACATTTAAACCATTTTAATTTTTCTTTATGATAATAATTGCAAAACCTTGCACATTTATCCCCTCTTGCAATTATTCCAATCTGCACAACCCGCTCTTCTGGTGTAATGCTATCTGTAACCTTAACAAAATAAAGTATTTTTATTTTATTAATTATTTTTGGGTTTCATTACTTTTATTAAGAATTTAAATCATAATGCAAATTTTTACAAATTGTAATAAATATTTGGAAGTGAAACGGACTTGAATATTTGGCATAATTTACATTTTTCAGGTTAGCAAATAAATAAGCTTTCAATTCCAACCTGCCATCTCCAGAGTGGCCCACCACTGTCTCCTTGACATGTGTCTGTTCCTATAGACATAATCAGTTTATCTTATAGATATATTACTTGACTTTGTTATATATTGTTAACTTGCCGTCACCAGTCTCTAGAATCAATCATACCTCCTAAAAAGTCTGGAAGACTTAAGGATGGTACTCCCACAGTTGTAGCTACACCCTTGATTAAAATTTAAAAGAATTGAATATATGTTTTTGATTTACAGATATTTTTATATTTACAAAAATAAGAAAGCTTATCTGCATTTTCATTTACACTTGTAAATAAGCCTTGAAGTTAGAAAAGAAAAAGTAACTGACTGGTTTAGATTAGCTCCTTTGTTCTACCCTAAACATTACCTGTATGTTTTCTTTTGTAATGGTTAGATTCTCTAGTTGAAAGTCCTTAATAAAAAGTTTTTATTTGTTATAGATGAATAATGTACACTTTCAGAATTTACTGGGATTTTTAGCCAAATCTACCTTAGTTAATAAAGCCTAATAAAAAAGACTAAATAACAAACCAACACATATATTACATTTAAAGATTTTTTTGACAGGCCTAGTCAAAAAAAAACGCTATAAATGCTAACCCACTTCCTCTTTATTTTTTGTTGCTCTAGCGCTCTCTTTTTTGACAGTGTAGAATTTCTTTATATAAAGATTGGGGGGCTAGATCGGGATTTTTCAAAAATTGTTTTAAATAATGTGATGTGATACATGATTTTGTATCTATTTTCAACGGTTTCTCTGTAGCTTACATAACATGTAATGAGCTTTTTTTATGTAAATATTAGTTTTAAACCCCAACCGGCAATTTGAACAAAAATAATAGAGGGGGTGCTAAAACCCCCTCCTCCCACCCCAGTCTGTGTAGGGCTCATTTATATACATAAAATGCATTGTTTATACCTGTAACCTAGGTTCGTGAATTGACCCTGCACAAAGTTCGAACGCAGGATCAAAATTATCCAGCAGGCGAGCATCTTCAGCTCCGCTCATTCCTTAAAAAGACAAGTTGTCATTAATCGGAAATCTAGAATTTGAAAGAAAGCTTAGTTTTCAAGTTGTCGTTACTTAGTTAGAGAATACCTTTTAAAAAATCAAAACATTCCTTGTATGTGAGCAGTGTCTGTCTAGCCCAATATGCTGTCCCAGTTTCACTTTCAAAGAAGAACTGACCATTTCTGCATTATTGAACGGGTTAATAAAGAGATAAAGAAAAGCCTGATTTTTGCTCGAAAAAATAGCACATTTTTGCAATTATTCGCAAACTTAATTTTGCGCAAAATTGCGCTATTCCGTTATTCGTTATTTTATTTTGCGGATCAAATTCTAATGAAAAGATTGCTAAAAGGTGTTAAACTGTGTAAATTAGTTTTCTATGAGATTGCACTTTTTGCATATAATCGGATGCTAAAAAGGAACTGGTTACTTGCCTAAAATACCCCTTTTAAACTTTAGCTAGCGTTTTAAGAATGTGTATACAAAAAAGTAAAAAGTTCGCAAAAAAAATTGCGTGAAAATTACGTAAATTTTGGGCAAAAATGTGGTCATTTCGCGGAATTCGTAGAGCAGAATTGAAATAATCAACAGTTTTCCAACTTTTGAATTTGGTTAAGTATAAATAAACTGGTTTATAAACTGCATCATAGTGTCAAACAAATCTGCCCATGTTTGTTGTCTGCTTCAGAAGATTTACTATTTGAATGGAGAATTAGAGTCCTGTAAAAACAAATTACGTACTTATCTAATTAGAGTCCTGTGAAAACAAATACAAATTACGTACTTATCTAATTAGAGTCCTGTGAAAACAAATACAAATTACGTACTTATCTAATTAGAGTCCTGTGAAAGCATATACAAATTACGTACTTATCTAATCCTACTTGACAATGCTGGTCACATAGTCCCCAGTCAGGCATTTCTTTAAAATCCACATGTGAAATTCTGAAGTACGTGCATTACATTAATATAATTCAGATTAAATTATTTTTTATTTCTTGCTTTTAAATCGAACATAAATTTGGTCGTAAACAGAATTGAATTTTGTCCAAAAATGTGTGAATTTTACGAATTCTAAATAAAAAACATCTTTGCTTAATAAATTATATATATGGTAAAAACGCAATTTCACTATTAACAAAATGCATTGTCTGTAAAATATCTTTTAATAAGCCATAAATTTCAAAGAGAGGTTTTAATTGAAAGATTTTTCTCATCACTTTTTGAAACGGTATGATTTTAAATGTTCATTTTCTATGAAACAACGCAATGAACTTATGGTCTTATATTTTCATTTGCAAAAGACATCGTGGATGAAGCTCAAATCTGTAACCGTAACTGGAATAATTAGATAATTTAAAAGTAGTGACTTACGTTGTATTTATATGGCACCAGCCGTATTGGTTTATATTAGGATAACATATAACTGCTTTATTCATCCTCCATAATATATGTATATTAGATATTTATGAACTTTAATATAAAATGGTGAAAAAATAATGGCTGAAAATCTTACGCTGGGATAGTTATTCGGATGATATCCAACCGCAACTGAAAGTAAGAATTATTACACAAAGGAATTGAGTTTTTGCAACAAACTCAAGTTATCTAAAACCTATATCTAAGCAACTTGATGGTATAAACCTTTGGTATTTGAAACTTATATTGTTTTATTTAACAGAATTCATAGTTTGAACGATTGGGTTCAAAAGATATTGGGATTAGAAAATCAGAGTTTGTGGCAAAGACTCAATTCCTTTGTTTTTACAACAAAATAATATGTTGATAGATACCTTCTGAATTTTATCAAAATAATTGTAAATCAACCAGTTGCAGACAGATTCTTCTGATAATCACAAGTACACTTTATATATTTTCCACCAATTTGTGGTATGAATGTTTTAGAATTAATATTGAATCAAAATCATATTAAAACTGATTATCCCTTTAAGTAATTGGGAAATTGGAAAGAACAATTTTTGAGTGAGTAGTTAATAGAGTAATAAAATTGATGATGTATGCCAACAAAGAAAACTTTGAAATAAATTCTAACCAAGTGTCATTTTATTCAATTTTTCTACCTAATGGATCAGCAGGGGGGTCAGACAATTGACAAGAACTGGAACATGTGTGATATGGCCTTAAATTTGGTCATAAAATTAAACAAATTATTTTTTAGGGATGCAAACATGTATAATTTGTCAAGATATGTATTCAAAGGACAGAATTTTTGCCATAAACTCAATTTGCCTAATCCCGATATCTCTGCAACGTGACGGTAACCTTTGATATTTCAAACTTAGACTAATTGATCTAGCAGAATTAATAGTTTGAAATATCCAAGGTCTACGACATTGGGTTGCAAAGATGTAAGGATTAGAAAATCAGAGTTTTCGGCAAAGACTCAATTCCTTTTAAGTATTTTTCTTTTGAACCCGTTTTAACCTTGGTAGAAACATATCCGTTGAGCACTCAGCTTTCTTATCTAATTTTGAGAAAAACAGTAAAATTTAATATATATATAAATTTTAGTAAAAATGCTAATTCAGTTGTAAAAATATACAGCGCGGGTATAAAAAAATATGTAGAGGAAAAGCTTTTTCACAAGCAGGCAAGATTTTTTACATCTATTTTCAAGGATGATAAATAATTATATTGTAAAACACTTTCCTCTAGTCTTAATTGTAAATATTCAATCTTAGGAATGTTCATTTGAATTTTTTGTGATTTCTTTTTTCTTTAAAATCCTTTTAGAGAGAAGTGGGTTATTCCAAAACCGGATGCAAATGCACTCTAAACAAAAAAAATATTCTATTTGCATGTTCAAAATCACTATTATAGTTTAACCTTATGGATAGTTTTCTTGAATTTTATTGCACCGGGAAGACAAACTGGGGATACATCCGAATTAAACCTAACCTAAACATTGACACATATCAAACATTGACAATTATCAAAATTATAGCAAAATCTGGTCGAGACAACAAACTAAATCTTCTAAAAATTTGCTGAAGGGAGGATGGAAACATTATTGCTTAAAGGGAGTGTTCGCGAAAAATAAAGGGGGGTATAGGCTTACGGCGAAAAATAAGCGCTTTTGATCGCTACTTATCTTAGTTCTCGCTGTTGCGTCTATAAGGAGTAAATTGTTAAAAACGACTCATACCGAAGACCGTAGCGTCCATTTAAATTCATAAAATTACAACGTTCAACTGCGGATCATAAAAAATCAATTTAATTCCAATCAAATCATTCAGATATTGCAATAATCCTCGATATTTTTTCGACGCATTCAAATCGTTGATATTTCATAATATTTTTTATTTTTTATGAAGTGATCGTTACTTTTGAAAACATTTATTCTTGTTTCGAAGATTTTTGATAATGAAGACAACATGTTCATATTTTTCATATGTTCAAAAGCGCAAGTAAAATATTATTTTTATAAAACTAAATCAAAAAATATTATAAAATATTAACTATAATCAAGACTCTACTACATCAGATTTCAAAGTAAAAGGATAGAACATCTTATGGTCAGGCTCACCTCCCAATATGATACAATAACTCTTTTGAAACTTTTAGTTAACCTATTTTCCTGTTTCTAATTATCAAATATTTTTACTAATTGTTCTAAAAATATCCCCTTATTTACACCATATTATTTTTCTGCTACTAATTTTTTTTCAGAAACGTTTTTAAGAATTTAAAGAATGAATGCAGTTCTTAAAAAAAATTTTCAATAACGTTGAAATTTAATTTCACAGCCAAACAATAGCCGGCGACAAAATGGTTATTTTTTTTTTACTATTTCAAGAAATATAAAAAAGTTATATTTCTTGCCATCAGACAAACTTAAAAAAATGGAAAGCAAGAAACATGCTGACCACAGTATTGCATGGTAGCAAGATGTACTTTTCTAATATATAAATTTTAAATGAGTTGAAGGCAAGAATTTCTCAAGATACTGGCGAATTAAGTTTCATACACTATTAGCTTCAGGAGGGTAATAATGTATTAATTGTTATTTTAACATATTTCAGAAGTAAGTTCGTTTTTGGTTACAGCATATTTAAAGAATATCAAAATTTGATTATTTGTCTTCAAATCATATACATATGTGATTATCAGAACTTTCTAAATCTATTTCTTCTAGAATTGACAATTACTTTCCTTACGATCAAGCTTAATCAGAGCTATGTCAAAAGTTTTCAGATTATTTTTTTTCAACCGCTCTTTCCTGACCACAATCTCAGTTGCTTTGTATGACATATCGTTCTGAATTTCCATCTGAAATAAACAAATCTTGAAAGTGAATCATGTAGAAAATATGATTGTTCTGTTATTTAATATTAAATTCAAAGGACATTTTAAAGCACAGCAGGCGAAAAAATGGAAAACCTCGAACTTACCAAACACTCTTTCTCATTGCTGATTGCTAGGCACACATCAAATTGAACTGGATAATTGTCTGTTATCTAAATTTAAATATTCATGATGAAAATTTGTTTAACATTTAATCCTCCAAGATTCTTAGTACATTTTTTTGGAGATCATTTCACCGCTATTAACGAAATTAAAGCATAAGGCTAACATGAATTAGTTTTAAGAAATTTAAGAGTTAAGTTTATTTTCAATTATTGCTTGCAATTAACATTGCTGCTCATGTATATCAGTTGCAATCTTAAATGTTCAAAAACAATTTAAGTAGGTTAAATAAGAGTAGGTGAAAATACAAAGATAATAAACTCTGTATTAATTTAAAGACAAATTAATTAAGAAATTAAATAACCTGTATACGTTCTTTGCCCTCATTACAGACCGATTGTTGAACTCTTTGTATGTAATCTGTTGGGCAGACACAATGTGAGGCAGTAATAACATACCTATATATGATATTTATAGACTGTTTGTTTATTTATGTTTGAATTTTCACAGGAAAATATTCATAAGACTTACCAGTGGTTGATTAAAGTTCCGCCACAATTAGCAGACTTATGTATCTCCCCCTCGGAAAGCCTTTTTGTTATAAAAGCAAGCCAGGGTCTAAAAAATTAGATTGACAGTATAAACAACAGCAAATTTTGTATACTGGAAATATTGTTTTTGTGAGTTTTAAGAACAAAACAACTGTAAGGCGAGTTAATTCATTTTGATAAGTTTTTGAAAATACTTTTACCTTTCAGCATTTAGTATTTTTAGTTTTACTTTATTTATTCGGTAAATTTCTCTAACCGGCTGAAATCAAGCAACTAATATTTTGGACGCCACCAGCTTTTTCCCGGCCCGATTTTCCCCCCTCACAGCCAAATAACCTGTATTTAGACTCAAACTTGGTCCATTTAAGTGTGTTCCAGAGGTCTGATACCCTCAAAATCAGAGGAGGCAAAGTCTATTTACAGGAAGTTTTCTAATGTTTTTATCCAAGTTTGAGCAAAATTATTAGAATCCTTTTTGAGAGGTTTCGGGAAAAAGTAGCCAACTCTGTTTCAATATCAACGGTAAATTTCCCGTCATGACATTTGGAGGAAAATGTACGCTAGATTCTGACGTGTGCATTTTGCTTAGTCAACTACACTGATCATTGTTCTAACTAGGTGCAGTACGTGGAAAAGGGATATGAAAATAAACCAAAATTTCGTGGGGGTGGGGGTTATTCATGGTCTGTTTGGGTTATAAAAAGAGTTGTAGCTTTTTCTTCACCTTAATCATAAATAATAAAATGGTAAATAAAGACAACTACTTTTCATAAATATACAGTGCTCTCCAAAATAATATGATAAGCATAGACGACAGCTCATAAATATACAGTGCTCTCCAAAATAATATGATAAGCATAGACGACAGCTCATAAATATACAGTGCTCCCCACTGGTAAATGATGATTACTTTTCATAAATATAAGTGCTTCTTGAAAAAAGATTGCATATTAAAGAAAATTCGTCTTCACTTCACCATTTTATTACTGTATGTTACTGTAAATGGAAGGAAGAAATAACAAGAGAAAGAAAGGAAGAAAGAGAAAGTGAGAAAAGAAGATTTATTTTGGAAAGCACTGTATATTTATGTGCAGTCGCCTATGCTTACCATATTATTTTGGTGAGCACTGTATTTAGACCATGAATAAAACAACCCCCCCCCTACCCCCACGAAATGTTGGTTTATTTTCATATCCCTTTTCCACGTACTGCACCTAGTAAGAACAATGATCAGTGTAGTTGACTAAGCAAAATACACACGACAGAATCTAGCGTACATTTTCCTCCAAATGTTCTGACGGGCTAAATCTTGTACTACAAACAAACAACACAACCGTACAGTAATTAAAGCAATCACCAGGAAAAAGTTGATCACATCAAAATAAAAAAGATATAGTCTGTTCTGAGATGTCAGTCGGGATGGATTAAGTGGAAGGATCTACCTCTAAAAAACCGCAAAACTCTCTCAATAATGAGGAGATTCAGATTTCATCTTGTTGGTTAGGCTTAAAAATACCTTGTCTTTATTTTAAATAATTCAAGTTTATTAAGGATTGTTCAATTTTTTCACAAAAAAGATCACCAAACCTTGGGCGTTCTTTCTTTCCTCCAACTAATCGAAGATCCCCATCACTATTTTCAGTGTAGTCATCGGAATAGTCATCTGAATAATCTTGACCTTTCTGGAATTAGGTAATTTACTTATATAATGGGTGTTGACTTGAATAATTAGTACAAGTAGATATTTACGTTTCAGTAAATAAATTATCAAGTACAATAGATGGCAACGTAGAATTTGTACACTCTGTACAGCTGTATTCTTACGTCACAAGTGTCAACAGTTTTATGTGTCCGACAAAATTATTAATAATGAAATAATAAAGTGCACTTCAGTTAGAAAACTTAAATTTTACATGTCTAATATTTACTGATATAACTAATATAATCATAATATCGTTAGATAGCTCAGGTAATTAGGAATTTAACCATGAAAGTTTATTTCTAAGAGTTTTAGCACAATTTTAGGATATCTAAGTTTTGGCCAGATAAGCCAAATAGCAAGAAGTGGTTCAAATAGTTGGACTACTTTAAACTACTTTTCTATCAAGGACGAGTGTATACCAGAGAAGCATACCTAATTAAAATACTTGTATAACCTCTTTTTAAAAAAAACTACAACAAATAGGAATAAACATTTACTTATTTTGCTTTCCTTTCAAAGTTGTTTGTTTTACCTCTGCTAATGAAGCAGGGAACTTTGACTGTATAAAGCTTTCTGCTTTAAAATAATCAAATCTGAAAACAAAAGAATGTGTAATATTCAAGTCATTTTGGCATCGCTCTTAATCTTGAATATGCACAAAAATACAATTTGTTTATATACCTGGACCAGAAAGGAGTTTCAATTGTCGGAATATCAAATTCCATTTTTCCACAAATACAAACACTTTCATTAGTCTACTCTAAACATGAGTAATCAAACAAGGGTTCAGTACCAGTCACGATCACACAAAGAATAAACTCGAAGACATCTTAAACTTCTCAATTAGTATTTGGTTTGCTATAAATATTCTTAATTTAAAACTGCAGCCTTGATCTCACCTTATTTTCTGCAAAGCAAACTTGAGTATTCAATGACATAAATCCAAAAAACTGAATCAGGTTCGGTAACCTCATCTTAAAACACGTACAACATTATTTTTAATGATCTGTTTATGAATTTATAAAAAAAACTATAATGTATTTATAACCATAATCTAGATTTCTATTTTTGAATAGCGCATGCAAAATTTTTTTGTTATCAAATTATCAAAAATGTTATTGCAAATTGATCACTATTTATAAACACTGTTTTTTGGTTCGCAGTATTAAAATTTTTTTTTTGGACAGAAATTTTCTCTTTGTAGCGAGGGACAAAATATAATCTAAAAAGGCGATAATCTTCTATATATAGAGAACATTTAAGTCCAAACACTTTATAGAACGTCGTGCCAAAATAGTAGTATTATAGGTAATTTTAATAAAACGTTTGTACAAACTTGTACCTGTCTTATTTCAATGGCTATTTCTAGATCAAATAACCTTTGAAACCAAGCTGAAGTGAAAATATAAAGTTGATTTCAATTTTATTTTCATTTCAATTGAAAAAAAAAGATATTTTGGAAATATCCTAAATCTTTTGGAAAAAAATCCGGGAACCAATCAAAACTTTATAGCACATGTGCTATAATGTACAGTTAATTTAAATCTTCTGGAAAAAAATCCGGGAACCAATCAAAACTTTATAGCACATGTGCTATAATGTACAGTTAATTTAACTTTTAGTACGATGATTACTTTTTAGCACGTTCATTATGAAGATCACATTTGTCATTATGAATAGTCTTTCATTTTGTTTTTCGTCTTATCTATAATTTATATTTTTAATTGTGTAAAATGGAAAGTACTATTAACTTTTTAAATTCTTTTACAGTGGAAATAATATATAAATTCAATTTGCAGAATTGCTCCAGTCAACGTGTTTCTCGAGGGAAACAAAACTGGTACAACCAATTTAAAGCCAGCTCTGTCAAATATAAAACGCAAAAGCTGAAATTCTGAAATAAGAAGTTTCGACAATAACAGTTTCCTTGGCTTTTTTAAAATATGTAAGATGGTCGGGAAATGAAAGCTTTTTGAGAACGTTTCTGATAAACAAATATGTAAAAGAATGAGAACAATGAAAAACTATGTATTTGGTAAATAACAAAAAGAAAATTTAAGAGGTTTTTTATGCCTAAAATAACTATCTTTATTTACATTTTTTTTAATTGGACCGTGACAGAATAATATTAAAATGTTGAATTTTCGGTATTTACTGACACTTATTAGAATACAAATTTGAAATAATTTTTACCTTGATATCGGATTATTTACAACTGCTCTTGTAAAAACACAGAAATCAAAAGATTTATAAATTTTAGTATTCACTTAATGTCTTGTTTCTATTGAAATATGATCTAGATATGTGTTAAATATTTTGATTTTAAGACAGAGACAACGCTAACTAACTAGTAATTAACCCAACGCTGCAAATGTTGACCGACATAAAAAACTATGATCTTTTTTAAAACAAATACTTATTTTACAATACCAATTCTGTGTTTCCTTTCCAAAACTGTTTTATATTATTTGTCAATTAGTTTTTCTTTTACTATCTTTAATGATCACAAGACCAGAACAATGGAAAAAGAGAAATGTGAACAGCTGTATGTGTTATGCTGCAGTTGCCAATTGCCAAATCGTCAATTTTTTGGAGTCACGGAAGTTCGTAGAAAGATTTTGACTCTAATGGAGACCACCGACGGGAATTCATTTTCACTGGAGGGGTTTGAAAAAATGCTTTTTACAATTTAAAACTTTCCGCAGGGTTATTTACATTCAGATATATATCCTGGGGGGTTATAATTCTACTGGAGGGATTCACTTATCCTTCCAAGGGGTTTATAATTCCACTGGAGGGATTCAGTTATCCTTATGGGGGTTATAATTCCACTGGAGGGATTCAGTTATCCTTCCAAGGGGTTTATAATTCCACTGGAGGGATTCAGTTATCCTTCCAAGGGGTTTATAATTCCACTGGAGGGATTCAGATATCTTTCCTGGGAAGGATTTCTGAATCCCTCCAGTGGAATTATAACCCCCCTGGAAGGATATCTGAATCCCTCCAGTGGAATTATAAACCCCTTGGAAGGATAACTGAATCACTCCAGTGGAATTATAACCCCCCAGGAAAGATATTTGAATCTCTTTAGTGGAATTATAAACCCCTAGGAAGTATAACTGAATCCATCCAGTGGAATTATAACACCCAGGACATCTGGATCCCTCCAGTGGAATTTTAAACCCCTAGGAAAGATATCTGAATCCCTCCAGTTGAATTATAACCCCCCTGGAAAGATATCTGAATCCGTACAGTAGAATGTAAATCACCCTGAGTAAAGTTTTAAATTGTAAAAAGCATTTTTTTTCAAACCCCTCCAGTGAAAATAAAATCCCTCCAGTGGAATTGTAACCCCCCAGGCAGGATATCTGAATCCCTCCAGTGGAATTATAAACCCCTAGGAAGGATAACTGAATCCCTCAAGTGGAATTATAACCCTCAGGAAGGATATCTGAATCCCTCCAGTGGAATTATAAACCCCTAGGAAGGATAACTGAATCCCTCCAGTGGAATTATAACCCCCAGGAAGGATATCTGAATCCCTCCAGTGGAATTATAACCCCCCAGGAAGGATAACTGAATCCCTCCAGTGGAATTATAACCCCCAGGAAGGATATCTGTTTCCCTCCAGTGGAACTATAAACCCCTAGGAAGAATAACTGAATCCCTCTAGTGGAATTATAACCCCCCAGGAAGGACATCTGAATCCCTCCAGTGGAATTTTAAACCCCTAGGAAGGATAACTGAATCCCTCCAGTGGAATTAGAACCCCCCCGGAAGGACATCTTAATCCCTCCTTGGAAGGATAACTGAATCCCTCCAGTGGAATTATAACCCCCATAGAAAGTTATCAGAATCCCTCCAGTAAAATTTTTTGAAATCCCTCCAGTGAAAATAAAATCCCTCTGGTGGTCTCCAGTAGAATCGAAATCTTACTACGAACTTCTTTGAGGACGATTTTGTAATGACACTAAAAACGGACGATAAGTTAAACTTGGATAAGGAGTCTAGAAATTCTAAAAGGATGATTTTTTTAAAATAAATAAATTACAATTTGAAAACTGTTAGAAGCTTGGATACTTTAATCTTGTTTGGAATTAAATTACCTTTTCAAAAATTTCCTCTAAAGTTTGTTTTTGTCTGCGATCCTTTAACTTTTTTTGCAACCTGAGCAGCAGCCATTGTCTGTACAATGAGAGGAGGGTTGCACATCTCGAGGGTTTGAAGTAAAACTCTATGGTTTTGAATAAAATTTAGGGAATAAAAAAATGTTGTTTAAAATTAGCCTTTGAACGGAATATGCTTCCCGGTTAGACCATTTTTTTTACAGATTTTATAATTTTCTAAAAAATGGATAGGCCGCGAAGCACACTGAATTTCTGGATTCAAAATCAATATTGAAATTGTTGGGCAGAAAGTTTTTTTTTAAGTTTTATGAATATTTTACTAAATGAAAAAATCGAAGATTATGACGTTCATTTTGGACCCTGGAATTTTATTGGAATCCCTCATGCCAATGTCACCCTCCACTCATCAATTTAGTCAACTCATAATTTATTGGTTTATATTTCATCTCAAACCCTTTTGATCCCCCCACCCCGTGAATTTAACTTAAAAACGCTATGAAACAAAACTTCTCTTTATTAATGAGCAACATTTTTTCACATGGATGTAAATCTGTACAAATTATCTTACGTGCGTCGTAAAAATTAACATGAATTATAAAAAATAATTTTTAAATTTTTAAAATTTCTCTGATTTAATATGCGCAAATTTGTGTAAACCTTTTCTTGCATTTTATTATCTATAAAATGTAAAATTTTTGAATTGTGAAGTTATCTTTGTTATCTTTAAAATTATATTTGAAGCTAACACAGTCTTCTATTATAGTAAAATATTGTACTAAGATCTATATTCTCTTTTATATCCCGTAGATTAAGAGGGTCAGCTGCCGACCTCTAAAAAATATAGGTGAGAGAACAATGCTGTCAAAGAATATTTTCATATATAAAAGGTTTAAATTTAAAACTCAAGTAAAACATGTTTATAAATAGACCAAAAATTAAGTTTTTCTGTATGCGCTAAAATAATAAAAAGTTCAAAAATTCTTGGAAATGGAAATTTCCCAAGACTGGATGATTACACCCAGATTACTGGCTTTTTGAAAAAAAAATTTCAGAAGTACTTTAAGACAATTTTTTAAAAATATACTTTTACTAGTGCTTATACTTTCTAGCTTGATTATGTCCACTTTTTGTTGAAAAGCTATGTAAAGCTAAGAAATTAAACTGCATCAGAACAAACCTAAACCAAACCAACAAAAACCGAACCACACCGTACCTGTATATATCTTACGTTGTACATTATCTATAAACTAACTACGCTCATTATTATATAACTACGCTGTAAATAACTGCATACAACTTGTATGCAGTTTTGTATAAACGTTGGTTGAAATATACTTCGCTTGATTAAGGTGGTAGAGTAATATATTCGCGTGTAGCGAACGGGACGAATTTGAGTTGTATCTTGTAAAACAGATACCTTAGAATAATGTAGAGTCGCATCTGGTTTGATATTGACTAAAGTATAACTGAGCAACCTGAAGTTTGTGATTGAGTTGTATCTTGTAAGACAGAGAAGACAGATAGAGTCGTATCCGGTTTGATATTGACTAAAGTATTATTTAGGAACCTGGAGTTGTATCTGGTTATACCTGGATTGCTACTGATCTAAAAGTATTAGTGCATGTACTACAAACATACTTAGAAATATTAAAATTAACGATTTTCATATACTTTTAACTTGAAATAGGCAACTAAAAATCTAATTGATGATTTACAAAGATTACGGAGTTTTTATTAATTTTATTTGAACGAATAAAAATCCCCATTAACATCTTCACGAAGAAAATTAAAAGAAAAGTGTTCAAAAAGTGTTAATTGTAAAATTTTCAAGTTGAAAATCAAATATCAGATGAAAGTTTGTGGTCAAGCACCAAAGAGTAAAACTAGAGACTACATGAAAATTTAAAAAATAAAGGATGTTTATTGTTCTCAGAAAGTAAAGTAAATATACAACCCTGAGTTGGATCATGGTAGCTCGGATTTGAACACCTGGATCATGAAGCCGTAGGCACATCACACTGGTACTCCAAGGGGACTTTCTTGTTTTAAAAACATCAAAGATCAGACGAATGTGAAGCCAAAAAAAAAACACTACAAAAATCAGTTACAAAATAAGATTCGTATTCTGTCCAGTTAAAATAAAAAATAATAGGAAAATAAAGCAAATTTATTAAAAAAATTAAAATTACATAAGTCAGAATTCAACAATTTTTTTTCAAGTGGCATTTAAATTCATCGCAATCCTATTTCATCAATCATGAAATAAATGCATACGAAAAGAAAAATATACTTTATTCAAAAGTGCATATTCTGTTTTTTGAAACAATTTGTGAATTTTTTCAGAAAACTGCATTTTAATTTTTTAAGCATTAGGTATATCTGAAAAAAAGAGATTTTTTTCAAAATATATAGATAATGTCAACATTAATGTTTTTTCCCTATTAAAAAGCCTCTTAAGGTTTATTCTATTAAGTTGCTAACAACTACATTTCCTTGAAGGTTAATTATCATATTTTAAGTTACAGATCTAAGAGCCTATCTCACATGATGAACGTCCCAGTCTAAAAAAAAAACTAAACAACGCTATAGGGTTCAATAAAAGTTATGGAAACGGTAGATAATTTTTGTTTGTTTGTGAGATTTTAACGCCGTCACTAAATTCAAATGTTCATGTAGGCTTTTTCAAAATATTTTCTTTTATCATTACTATTTCAAAAAGTATAACTAATAAAATAGAGGGATGGTAACTATCATTTAAATAGAATAGAATTATTTTGATCTATAATTATAACCAAATCGTGCCAAATTCAAAATCCAAAATCGGCTCACTGTGATTTCTCTACTTACTACGAGTCAATTTGGTGTGTAAGATTAACCTGATGGTACTAATGATAGTTTTGAGATTTAGGAGGAGAGGGGCTAGAGAGGGGGAGAGGCGGAGAAAGGGGAGGGTAGAAGAGGGGTGGGGTTGATGGGAAATTAAGTTCAGACAATAGGGAGGGCAGTAACAAGTGAGAAACACTTCAACTTTGGGTAGTGTTGAGCAGTGTTGGGGGGGGGGAGGTTGAAAGAAAAGGGGAGGAGCAGTTTCTACAACACCAAAATTGACCATCCTTTGTTTACAATGTTGTTTGGTTGTTTCGGAAACTCATAAAACAGTAAATTGAAAACAGTACAGAAAACCAAGAGTTTGATTCTAATAGTAAGAACGCGATGGTTAATCAGAATCAGACACATGCATAAATTAAAATGATATCTATAGGGGATTTTTGAATTTAAAATGAACGATGGTATGTTTTATATTTTATTTTTTATTTGTTATAGGAAAACTTTAGAAAAACTCCTAATGAAGCTAATTTTTTTGGCGAAATATATTAAAAAGAAAATAAAATAATTTAGTGAGCGAGTTTGTTCACAAACTATATTAAATAAGATTGATTCTGATTGGACTTATTTTGGAAATATTTGAACTTATTTTCTACTTCTAATGATACACACCAACAATCAGATTTTTTTTCAAAATGAGCTAGAGAACATTGTTTCAGTTTTATCATTCGTTTCTTTTTCCCATGCAGTATATTTCTGCAAAAAAGTGATCGCACCACATATGGGATTACGCTTAAGAAAACACTTGTTCTCTGACAATAATCTCTCTACCCCCCCCCCCCCGCTCACAATCTAATTAGTCCCTCATTTTACCAATGGTTACTACTTTAACCAGGGGAAAACATGCTTCATATCTATAAAGAAAATTTTATATTAATGTTTAAAAGTTAAACAATGGAGACATATCTAACATTTTTTAAAACTCGTAATTCTCTCCCAGGAAACTCCCAATCCCCTCTCAACCCCACCCAGCCCCTTTTCACCTCAATTTTGAGCATAAACCTAATTATTGAAAGAACACCTGTGTCTGACCTATAGACTCACTAGATAACCTGTCAATTCAAGGGGCGCACCAAAACAAACAAATGATTACATTTTTGACAATAGTTTTTTCGTCAATCCGGAGAAATAAAAGAGCAACGTATAAATGCTAAGATTGAACAATTTTTAGCTTAACGGCGGGAATGATGGTGCCTATAATATGATAATTGAAACACTTAAATGTAATCTTATTTTTATATTTCCTTAACTTAACTTAAATCAAACTTAAAAAGACAGTTATAATTGTGTCAGTAAGTAAAACAATATTTTCCAGCATTTGAACATTTTTTTATTAAGTTTTATTAAATATCCCAAATATCTTTTATTTTCTAACCAGATTTTATAAATGAGGAAACCACACCTGGGTATGGGTATCATAATTTCATAAAGCTTAGTCGGTGTGTAGACACTACGGAATAAACATCGAGATTTCCTGACGGGCGCACTGTCCGCAATTGTAATTGACACGGCAGAATTTCCAGAGTTTGCGGGAAATGAGTTAGTTTGGGGAAACGGTTTGGCGGCGGTTTGTGTAGTGAGGTGCGCCAAAATATATATGAAGGCGCGTTGAGTGATTTTACGGCGCGCTTTTTAGACATGGAAAGACAGGAGAGAAAAATGGGTTTCAGTCACATATTCAACCTTTCTAAATTATGGACCGTAATAAGTAGGATGAAACTCTTACAAATTTATAAAGTTCTAGCCTTGTCTATTATTATATGGACAAATAGTGATCCTGTGACATCTGAAAAGGCAAATCTTCAGCGTTTGTCAGAGGCACATTTCGAGTTCGCAATAAATCTATTCAGGCAAAAGGCACTTATTCAGGCAAGCTTTAATATTATTGGATAAAAAACGAAAGTGTTCACTTCAATGCAATATGCATTTAAGATAAATAACTAGATCTGCACATAAAATTAATTTTATGTAGATGAATCGCTTGAATATAGATATGAACTATAGCATGAACTATATAGAGGCAGATGAATAACAATTACTAAACATCGTCATGATTTAAGGAGAACATTAGGTCGTTTAAAACCTTATTTTTGTTGCCAATCGTTAAACTTTGAGCATACAAATATTTAGATAAAAATTAAGCAATTGTAAATACTTTGTTTTAATTTTATTTTAATTATATGAAATGTACGTTTTTCTCAGGATCGTGGAAACATTGTAATCTCACCACACGCAGCAAATCTTGGACTTGCTCTGATATTTTTAGGTTAGTTTTTCACTTATATTTAACCAAATATTGAGATAAGGGTCCGTTGTTGCATATGCATATAATGTATGTTTCATAGTTGACACTCATATTTTCAGTAGCACTACATATATAAACCTGCTCAATGTTATATGGCACACTGAAATCCAGACAGCTATGACAAGTTGCAAAATTTGTTTGTTTAGACCGGCCGCAATGCCTTAGCCTTAATTTTTACCTAAATAAAGTGCGTATACTTTTTGTAGCCCTAGACACATACATTTCAAAACTACAGAAATTTAGAGCCATTTTAATTTAGAAAGTAATTGACAAAATTCTCGACAATTTTTACGTGAGCGCTTGCAACCTTTAGATCACTGTGGGCAACTATGAACATTAGTATTATTCCCAATTGTATTTATTTTTACCATCATTTGATACACCAAGGAGATTTTTTTCGAGGACGTCGTGTCAAAGCTCTGATCTTAGTTGTATTTTATTTGAACAGTAGTGAAATATTTTCCGACTGTATTGAAATTTGACAATACTTTACATACATGTTTTATCAGCGCACTAAGGTCTGAATAAATATTAAATTTAAAAATATTTATCTCAATATTCCAAGTTAAAAACGAAAATTAATTACATTTTATGCAAAAAGGTGTATATTTCCGGAAAACTCATTAAATTGTGACATGATCAGGACTCTATATCGACTTAAATTACTTAACTCTTTAAAAATCTTTTATAAAAATCCCAGATGCAATTATCACATTTTTAACCGCATCCGCTAATTTCTATCCTTCTGTTTTTGCGCATGGCTTCATGTTCATATTCCTTATGTTAGGTATTTACAATTTTATTAAAAATATTAAGATTTTTTGTAACTTAGTCATGCTTACTATATCAAAGTATTTTAATCATTTTAGGCAGTACGAGTAATACCAATACTTCAAGTGAACTTAGGAAAATTGTTTTTAGAGTGTAATCGACATGTTCACTGTAAAAGGAATTGAGTGTTTGCCACAAACTCAGATTTTTATATCCCACTTTCTTTAAATCCAAATGTTGTAGACCGTAGATATTTCAAACTATGAATTCTGGTGGATCAAGAAGTGTAAGTTTGAAATATGAAAGGTATTCGTCATCTGGTTGTTGAGATTTAGGTATTATAAAATTGGGATTTGTGGCAAAAACTCAATTCCTTTATCATTTTTATTTGCAATTACAGGGGAAGAAAGTTCCAAAACGTGCTTATGTTCCGAACCTGACACTGAGTGTCAGGTTTGGGCACAAATATTAAGATCAAAGATCTTCTTTTGCCGAGTGCAAATATCAATCATAGAAACTATTTCAAACATATTATTGAGCACGACGAGAACTACAATTAACACTTTTTACTTCTGTTCTAAAATTAAAACTGCGAGTGATCGTTCACTTTTAATTCAAACCCTTACCATTTAAGACAAAAATCAAGATTTTCCATTTTTGCACATATCACGAATTCTAATCTTGGACGCGTTTTGTTCAAAAATGTAGCTTTAACTATTTTAAATTAAAGTATTCGGGCGGTTTTTTCTTGTCAACTTAAATTAAAAATCTAAGCAGTTAAAAAATATAACTTTGCACATTTGGCCCAAACCTGACACTCAGTGTCAGGTCTGGACCAAATCACGGTTTGGAACTTTCTTCCCCTGAATTAATATTTCTAAAAATTATACAATCCGCGACAGGCAGTGTTTACATTATGAGAATATGTCGTACGTGGACGTACATCGTTCGTACAAGGATGTAATCAACATTTTAACAGGGATATTAAAACTTAACTATTTCAAGTTAGCCTAGCATTTTTTTAGACGAATTATTCGGTTGATTATTATAATTTGCGTAATTAGGTCTTCCTACGAGACCGGGGGCTGTTTCTGCCTAACTTTTTTTACTTCTCTTATCTAAGCAACCCGATGGATTAAGTTTTTAATATAGCAAAATTCAATGATTTTTCTTGAAGAATAAATAGTCTTAAATATCAAAGGTTTAAATCAGGTTTAAATAAATAGAAATTAAGATTGAGATTTTTAATGGTTTAATATTTGTAAGAACCGTATTATTCATCTCACAGCTATGTGAGCAATACAACAGTTTTTCTACAGAAAGGAGTGGGCATTAAGGCAGGCAAACTTAGAGTTTTTCAAGCATAGTTAATAGAAAAAATATTTTTATTATAAAAAATTTGGAAAAATTATAAGGGTATATTTTTGGCTGCAGAAACATTTTTAAAATCCTAGTTTGACCTTGAGAGTAGAAAGCCTATTTGAGAGCAGTGCGAGAGTTCTATAAATCTGAAGTTCAAGAGGTAGATTTCGGAGCCTCTGGCTCTGGCCACGCAAAGGAGGTTGTCAACAGGTAAATACGAAACTTATTATTTACAACTAAAGTTAACAATGAAAATCATGAAAAAAATCAGTAAAAGCAAGGTACTAAGGCAGGGAAAGTTTTCAGAGGTGTACACTTTTTTGTACTGCAGTGCACTGTCTTTGGGCGGAAAAGTAAATACAAGACGGATGTCACAGCCTGACATGGAATCCATTTTCACAAAAATAATCTATGAAATATTGTGGTCATAGTACTATGTGAATTTTCAAAATTATCATATTTAAATGCTTTTTTCCTCTACGAATACTAAACAAACACTGATGTCATTATTCTTGCTTATAAAGTCCGCTCAGAGAGAACTGGTTTCAATATGTACGCAGAGTATATGCGACCGCAATTAACTTTCCTTGCATTAGTACCTTGGTAAAAGTAAAAGTATGAGTATTGTTTATGATTATAAATACTATATATATATACATATACATATACATATATCAGTTGAAACGCAACAATCTTGTTATAACATTTTATTCTTGAACAAATTGTTTCATGCTTTTATGCAACCCTCAGTATATATATATATATATATATATATATATGTTGTATTTTGTCTTTTTAATAACATATAATATATAAACATAGAGAATTAACCTAAACAAAATGTTTCACAAAGATCTCAAGCAGTCAGAATTCGTTGAACAACTATTTAAATTTTTTTAATCGTCATTAAACATAATTTTTTTACACATCCAGACTTTTGAATCCAGTTTGCTGTAGAAAACTAAGTTTTGATTAAAGTCAACCAAATTAACTTTGAATGTTAAGAAAATTTTAGTGTTTCTACTTTGTTCACAAATCAAAATATGTAAGTAACATTTCGCCATATAACAACTTGCCTAAGTAACATTTAGTCATATAACAACTTGCCATGTAACATTTCGAGATATAACAACAACTCGCCTATATAACAGCTCGCAATATAAAAACAAAAAACAAAATAATAAATTTTATTTAATAGAAAGTAGTAGTTTATTAGTAGTAAATATATATATTTTTATAAAATTATGAAACATTATTCAGCTAAATTGATGAATACATAGATACGTACAAGGTTATAATGCATTACATATATTTATATTTGATGTAGGAGAAGTTGTTTATGTCAACCAAAGATGGTATCCCCCGCTGAGTTGTAGATGCGTGCAGTACTCCCGACATTGTTGGAATTACTGTATTTGCGGATTTTTGGTTTTTGATTCGTGGATTTTCTGGCTTAATTTCATTTACACCACAATTTAATTGAAAAATTTATATATAGGCGAGTTGTTGTTATATGGCGAAATGTTACTTAGGCGAGTGGTTAAATGGCGAAATATTAATATTATATGGCGAGATGTTACTGAGCCAAAAATGAGGCCAATCGGTCAAGCGGTAAAATTAGACATACAAACAAAAAGATGTTTTTTATGTTACAAGAAAAAAGAGAACTGAGCTGCCAATTCAAAACGATCTTTTAAATGTAAAATAATAGTTAAAGTAATAAAATTATTCTGTAATATTGCATAAAAATCCCCTGAATTCGCTGTTTTATTTAAATTATTCATTTAGTAATATATATATTTAAAATATATATTTAAGCTGGGTGTCTGATGTTTCTGGTGGAGCCTATTCTGAATTTTTGAGCTCCGATCCGGGGGGTGATACAAGACTTTTACTTGCATCATATACACGGTATTGTATTCAGTAAATGTAAATTAATATAGAAAAAGTTAATAAGGAAAGAGCGAAAAGATTAATTAAAGTGAAATCTCATTGAGTTTTTGTTTAAAAATTCTATTTTGCATGAAATGAATAACAAATTTATTAAAACATCAAGATAAAAGGTTTAAGTAATTATTGATCTATGCATTTAACACCGAACGCTTATCAATTTATAGATCAAAATAACTAAAGGCAAAATTAAATAACTGAATAACTTATCAAGGCTGCATGTTTTTTTTTGTTAGTAAAAGTTGTGACCATAGTTTTTATCAAGGATGATTCCACAATGGTTGTATCCCTTCGATCCACTGAAGACAAGCTACAATGGTCTTTTCTTTCTAGCAGGGGGAGAGAGGTAAGAGGCCAAGAAATCTTCCATCATGGAATATGCTTCATAAAAATGATTGTTTTTAACTTAATTTACTACTATCAGTAGTGAAAACTTTCGAGCGGAGGCAAAGGAAATGAGTTCCACTGATTTTCTCAATTAAAAGTTACTGACCCAGAGTCAAAGAAGCTTCACTGTCAAAAGCTATTCTTTAAAGACATAAAATCAAAATGACAATTTTCCTTGTTAGCAGACAATTAAAAGAAACATAATATACATTTTATCTATCGTTTTTTACTCAAAAAAGTTTAATGCTAATATGGAAAACCTCAGTTTGCATTTGACAAATGATACTCTTTGCATTGTTTCGGATCCGCTTAATCCAGGCTTTCTCTTCAAACATTTTAAAAGGGTTATATATATGGTAGAACCCTCATATCCTTTTCAGATACAGGCAAAAAACCATAAATGGTTTCTCTGGGTCATATGTTTGGAAAGTTTCAAATCCTGTTCAATTATTTGTTTCCATGGAAAAGTTTAAATCCTGTTGGTTTATTTGTGTATTCACATCTGCACCATGGAGTGTACGTGTGTAAGCGTAGGGCGCCAAGCTTCTATTTCTTACGCTCTGGCGCCAGCCTATTGTCACCAAAGTGAATCCGGGTCTGATCTTAAAGTAGGCGCCACAAACCAGTATCATTGAAAACATATTTAAATAATGGTTAACTTATTGACGTTTCTAGATATTCTATTAGAGTAAATCTGTTTTTAAAAAGTAAAATGTTATCACACAATATAGTTTATCGGTCATTCAGATGTGTACACAGGGGGAGGGCTATAAGCCCCCCCCCCCTCTGGGAAGAGTGAAAACTGTGTTTTTCTGGATTAAATTTATCTTCCCCCCTGGAAAGTCTAAATAATGTTTAATAAGTAAAGCCTCCCCACACGCCCGTGTAATATTCCTTCACATGTATATAATTGGGGAAAAAACCCGCAGATGACAAAAATGGAATATATTCTTCCTTGCTCTAAAAAATAATTTGGATTGTTCAATGTTCAAGGAATCTTTTCACCCCAAATAAAATTTTTTATATGAATATTGCATATATTGCTTAGACTTCAAGTTGCAATGATGAGCGGTCAGCTTGAAATACCTGTTGGATACTCTGAGAAGCTTGCGGCCAGGTTACTGGAGCTTCCTTTGCTTAACAGGTATAGACTATTATATATATGTTATCACAGAACGTTTCTTCTACAAAACGATTTATTAACATTATTAAACAACAGGCGAATGTCTATGTTTCTGATCTTGCCTGATCAAGTGGACCCAGGAGTGGCAAGCCTGGAACTTAATATTAATACTACACTGGTCAAGGAACTAATGGGGACTCTGAAGGTATATTTATTTATTTACTAGTTTAGGCCTATTAAGGTTAATTTTAAATCCAAACTTATCTTTGTTAAAGCAGTAGAAAAACAAAATATTTGTGCTATGAATGTATAACATAAAACCATTTTTGAATGAAAAATGAGAATTGTTACCGTTGCTCAGCCCTAAAAACGAAAAAACGAAAAATTTGTTAAAAAAATGCAATATTTCACGAAAGTTTTCTTTCTTATTTCGAAAACTTTTTGTGAAATTTCGCATTTTTTTCGAAAGGAAGCGAAAACCATGCGGAATGTCGTCAGAAAAAATGCGACAATTTCGCGAAAATTCTCGCATTCGTTTGTTTTTAAAATACTGCTTCAAAATGTTCCTTATTGCAAAACATATTGCAAAATAAAGCAATTTACCATCTCACTCCCTTTTTATTGCTAGAAAATATTAATTTAGCCATGTATTGCAAAAAATTTATTAAATCCAAACCAATAGGTATTTAAAGAAACCTTTGGAGCTAAATTTGTATTAAAAAGGTCTTATCATTTAAGCAACATTTTTTTTGTGCAAATAGAGATGTGTTTAATTTTCAAGGGGTTGATGAATTTTACTCAGGGGGGGAATGTGGACTGGTACCCCCCTTAAAACCGAGAAATTATTAATTATATCATACAACTTCTAATGCTGGATGGTAACTGTATAAGCAGATGCATTTGCAGCTGTAACTCAAGTTTTGCATGAATTTTTTTACACATCGATTGCGCTTGCTTCCGCAAAATTAATTTTCGCACTAAATTGCGGAATTCCGCGCAATAGTTTGCTTCAGAGGTTCAGCTGGAAACCTTTTTACTATACAAATTATGAAAATTACGAGAATCAAATAATAATTTTGGTACAGGGTGTCCAAATAAACCTGGGAATTGAATGACGAATTCGAAATAATTTTTGTTCACAATTAACGCTGAACACCTTATTTCAATGGTTACAATAAAGTTACGTCTGCTGGACAGGGTTGTTAATCGTTTTCATACGCGACCAAAAAACAATTGTTTTTTGCTTCGTTTTTGATTTAATAACTAACGAACCTTAGATTTTATGTTCGTTTATTGGGCGTTCGTTTTTTGAAAAAAAAATGTAAACTTGTGTCTTTTAAGATTTTATTTAAAATTTTCAGTTATGATAAAAGAAAAGTTTGTAAGAAAAGCTATATAGTTTTCATATAGACGAAAATGACCTCAGTGTTTTCTGATTATTTAAGTTACAAGGATAAACTATTAGTGGTTTTGTTACACACTTTAACTTGCGTGATCTAGTTTAGTTCTTACATGGTTTAGTTACTTTGTTTAACTTACGGGATGATTTGATCTATAGTTTGAGGTTTAACTTGAAAACATGGTTTAGTTACACGGTTTAACCTATGGGAACTTGTTCAAGGATTAACCCTATCTCTGCTGGGGTACTTGAAAACCAGGATATGCTGGGGGGGGGGGGGTCAATTTTCCCCCCCCATCCTCTAAATCCCATGTTTGATGTCCAAATATGACAAATGATACATCATTGGAAAGCTCTTGTGCTCTACTTTTAGAATCTGCAAAAAAATTTGCAAATTTGCAAAAATTGAATTTTTTATCGCAAAATCCAGTTATATAGTAAAAATGTTTGCAAAAATAAATTTGTTCAAAAAATGAAAAATTATCATTTTTGAAAAGCACTTGACCATGCCATAAAATATGCAAAGATTTTTGCAAAATTTTAAATAACCTGATTTTTAATCAAGAAAAACTAAAAATGTGCAAATTTCCATTGACAGGTTGTTTGCAAAAAATTTGCAATTTTTTTTCTCGCAAAACTTGTGCAGTTCGTTTCCTTATGTGAAAGGCTTTCCAAAAAGCTAAATTTTATTAATATCTTACAATTGGAAGTGGGTCAAAACAAAGATTTAGTTTGTTACAGAAAAAAAGCAGTCACTCAGGCAGTGTGCCTGAGGACTCAGGCAGTTAGTATTAAAGCCCGATTTTAGGCCTAAAGGGAGGGCTTCATGGGTATGTAGGAAAAGTCAGAAAATTTCAACAGCCTCAGACCAATACTTTTTGAGTTATGTAAAAAAAACTACAGGGGGGGGGGTTCAAATTGATCCCCCCCCCAGCAGGAATAGGGTTAATTTCCATGATTCAGTTACACGGTTTGATTAATGTGATTAAGTATATGTATATTTAGGATAACTTTACACTTCTTTAAATACGGACAATTTCAACTTTCTTTTGAAATAGCAATTTAACTAGTTTATTTTTAGAATCTGACAAAAATTAAATTTTTGGTTTACAATTTTAATAGGGCTGGTATTATTTTCCAAAAACTATCAAAAAACGATTAATTTTCGTTTTTTTTCTAAAAATGTTCGCATCCTTTTAAGAAAAAACAATGGGCCACAACAAAATGAACCATTCGTTTTGAACTTTAAAAAACGAAACAATAATACTAACTTTTTCTTGAAAAAATCGATAATTTTAATTGTAAACCCCAGGCTGTACTTTTTACTTACAGGGTGTCCCAAAAAACATGGGAATTCAGTGACGAATTCGATTTCGTCTTTGTTATGAATTAGCATTGTAATACTTAATTTCAAAAGCCTTAATATTATTATGTCTGCTAGAGTTCATTTTATGAAAAGGGTAAAAGATGTGTCTATAATGTCTCCACAAGATGAACAGTGAATACGGACATGTTTACTCTGTTTGTATACTGCAATTTTCTTGTTTTACTATGTACAACCGTATGCAGTCAACACATTAACAAACAAAATGTGAACATAGCAGACGAAACTCTTACAGATATCACTATTCTTAACCAAAGAATTATTAAAAAAGACGATATCGAATTCGTCACTGAATTCCCATGTTTATTGGGACACCCTGTAGAATAGTCATCTTGAATTTGAAGTATAGAGGTAGGCCATTTCTGGAAGTCTGATTTTATTTGTTATTGGGTTTGTTAATGTTTTTATAACAAAAATGATGTATTCTACAAAGGCAGATCGTTAACGAAGGGCTGTCAACAAATGTGCGGTCATTATTATGAAGGGTTGTCGTTAACGGTCCTTAAAGATCGTCAACAATTAAAAACGACTTACCTTTTTTAACGAAACGACAAACTAAAAAATACTTCTTTGTTTTTTAATATAAAAACGATATTTTTCAAACACCATTGCTTTTAAAAAAGACCTTATCGTTTTTCGTTTTCTGTACGATAAAACGATCGTTTTTTTAAATTAAGTAAAAACTATCCATCGCCACTAAACAATTTGTGTATATATATTCTTATTTTTCAGACTGAGGTTGTGAATGTGAGATTACCAAGGTTTAGAATAGAGGAAACATCAGACCTTGTAGACACAATCAGTCAGCTGGGAGTCGTTCAGGTGAGCTTATATAAGCTTATAGTTGAGCTTGTGGGCTAATCAGCTTTTGTTGTATGAATATCATGGCTACTGAGCGCAAAGTTTCTGATCCCCGTCTAACCTTTCACTAGAAAGCACACTTCATAATAAAAAAAATTATCTTAAACATTAAATATTCAAACCCTACTAATAATCATTGTTAATCGTACTTATTTACAAAATCGAAATATAGATATTTCTGATATTATCGTCTATGGATTAGAGGAGAACTTGTGGCAAGCCTATAAACAATTGCCAACCTGAGAACTTTAGTTGCCCAGGGACCGCTGATAGGGAAATAAATATCCCTCCTTTCTCCGGGAAGCCCTGCCTTGTTCTTATTGCCACATTTAGAGACCCCCCCCCTCCTTGAACTCAACAACCCTTTATATTTATTATTATTGACTAACCTAAGACCAACCAATCAAATAATCCTACCCTGGTAAGGCGGGTGCAAACTGCACAGTAAATTGTGATTGCTTATTTGTAATATCTCGTGATTTGAAGTTTAAATATGATATTAAATGAAATTTACTAAAAACTAGAAATTCAAGGCGCTTCGCGCCCATCTCCTAAATTAATTGTGAACATGTTCTCTTTGTGTACATCGTAAAACAAAACAAAAATAATTCGCGGATTTTCACCAAAAATTTCGCGGATTTTCAAAATTTTTAAAAATTTAATGACGATCGAATTTTGATGGAGACAAATATTTGAAATTTTGATGATTCATAAACCTTCCCTGGAGTCCCTAGATGTCCCACAAAAAATTTGGGCCCGATCGGTTCAGCCGTTTTGACGTTTATTGGATACAAACAAACAAACAAACAAACAGACAGACAGACAAGCAAAATTTATATATAGATAAAGTATTCTGTAATTTGATGGATAATTATAAGTCATTAGTCAGCCATACAAACCATCTTGTCAGTTAAAAATTAAATATTAATTTAAATGTTTAGGCCTTAAACCCAGCTTTAGCGGATCTAGAAAATATGGTAGATTTCAACATCCTTCATCTTTCATCCTTCAGTCATAGGTTAGTATGAAAACTCAGTTTATAAACTCATATTAACAGATTTTGCCAAAACGATATCCATTGAGCCATCAATTATTGCATATATAAAAAATTAGCTATAGTTAGCTTTTAAGTAATCCTAATAGAATATCCTAAAAAATCCGGGACAAATGGTTTTCTAATTTTTATCTTTGAGTTATGAAAAATCAAGGACATTCCCATTACAGAATTTGATAGTCTCTATATTTAAGATAGAACAGTCCTTAAGCTACAAACATTTTGGAATGTTTCTTTATTATACCCAGCTAATCTTCAATGTTCCGATACCAATATTGTACTATAGCTCGTTCTTTTCAAGATTTGTAACCAATGCTGTGTCATAAACTTTATAGTTCCTTGGACCTTCCTGATAGCGTGTCTGCTGTAGAGAGGCCACATCACTAGATGGGCATAGTTTTTGTGAACGAACAAAATTTTTCGTGAACGATGGTGTCATTAAGAAAAAATAGACTTGGATCGTTTAGAGAAATGAAAAACTATCGTTTTTTAAACGAACAATTTAATATCATTCGATCTTGATCAGTCATGAACGAACTCTAATTCGTTAGCACGAACGATAGGTTTTTTACAGAATGAACGAATATTTGAAAGATTTTGAATTAACGAGTTTTTTCCAACTAAATTTTAAATAAACTATTGTGTTTTTTTTATGGAAAAAACAATCTTTCTGAACGAACAATTTTACTTAACGATTGTTCAGTGAGAAAACGAACAAAATTTAAAACTGTGAAGTTGAATACAAAAATGTATATATATCTTTATATGAAATGTGTTAGCTATAGCAGGCCAACCGGCTGGTCAAAATTGAATGATATTTTAGGAAAACCAAGAGACTTAGTGAGACTTAGTCTAGATAAATGTTATGTTTTTAACATTCCACGGACAACGCCGAGCTAGTTTTAAATAAGTTTTATTCCTATTCCCTGGTTTTATGTTTTCTATTTCAGAGCCGAAATTGAGATTGAAGAGTGGGGCGTGCATGGCAAAGGAGAAACAAGTAAAGTTGGAATCCTTAGACAAAGATTTTTCGAGGTCGACCATCCGTTCTTATACTTCATCTGGGACTACTTTACCGGCACAATTCTACTCATTGGCAGGGTAGAGCGACCTATAGTCTTATAGTTTCCTGCCAGACAAAAACATTATTTAGACCTTAAAATTAAATATATCTATGTTAAACTGTTCAAAGAATTGAAGAGTTGCATTTTTAACTCTTTATTAACGGGGAAACAAATATTTTGTCCAAAAAAAACAAATGTTACAAGATTTCGTTCAAATAAACAAATGTTTGATTTCGTACAAAAATTAATAAAAATTTGTCCATTTAATAGTTCACAAGTTTTTGATCCAAACAAAAAGGCAAACAGTTAAACAATAATCCCACCATTTTGCAGTCAATAGTTAAACGTAAAATTCAACTTGTAAGTTGGGATTGGTAAAGATTTTGAATAATTTATCTATTTACAGAACTAGTACCATATTTTGTACATGTTTTATGTTTTATGTTATACAAATATATTTATATATATCATATATAACTTTTTTCATTATATTCAACAATCCTATTGAAATCTACAATGAATGATCAATCCACTCTGGCAGTTCAGCTACAAATTCTTGACTTCCCAACTTATACCGTTTAGAATGCAAGCATATGTATCCTTCTTCCTGTATCGAGCCAAGCTCAAAATCTGCTCTTATTAGGGAGGGATCCTGACAGAACACACAAGTAGGAAACTTTGAGAATCTTTCCATAATAGACTTCTCACTGACGGCAAAATTTACTTGCGCTTCATTATTTTTGGAGAGATTATTATTGAAATTTTTTAAGACATTTTCAACAGCGTTTGCTTTTCGTTTTGTGAAGGTCTCTCTCCGCAATTCTAGCTGTTCGCTTATTTTCTTCAGATGAAGTGGTCTATCTCCGTACAAAAGATCATTCACTATTAAAAATCCCAATTCCTTCAGGTGCAATCTAAAATACACACTATTAGTAGCATCATAAAATAGAATAACTTTTCTGAAAATTTCTTATTTTAACTGAATTTTATCTTTGTAATCTATTCACTAAATATTAAAATTATTAAAAAATAAACCTTATTTGATGAGTTCTGCCTGTTATTGGTCGGCAATCAACTAATGAGGTATTGGATCTAAAACAAACAAAAGTAAAGTTAGTATCAAAAATTTAAAAGTAAGGCAAGAATTAATAAAACTAACAATCACAGTTAATTTTGAAAAGAGTGAGTCTTTTAAATGAGATAGAATTTACTCCTAAAACCGAACTTGAGCTTATGTTAAAGAAAGATTGCTTAAACTCTCTCTGATGTCTACCAAAAAGAGATCTGAGTTGGCCTTCCTGTTTATCTACCTAGTATACAAACTACTAAGGACAAAACATATGATGATATAGAGGACATGTAAGTACAGGAATACTTGAATTTCTCTATGGCCTCAAAAAAAACCCTAATTTAATCAATATATATATATATCCATCAAGGATTAAAAGATATGAAGACTGGTAAGAATTTTGAGGTCTTTGAAAATAATGATAAACAGCACCATCTCTGCATTACGCACGCAATGTTGCTGATTTTACACGATGTTTATGCGTGATGACACCAAATCTGTAGCAACAAAAAAGTATAAACATGGGAATTCAGTGACGAATTCGATATTGTCTTTTTAAATTTTTTTTTGATTTAGTATAGTGAGAAAGCCGTAGTCTGTAAGAGTTTCGTCTGCTATTTTCACAATTTGTTTGTTTATGTTTTAACTGCATACAGTTGCACTTAGTAAAACAAGAAAATCGCAGTATACTAACAGAGTAAACTTGTCCGTCTTCACTGTTCATCTTACGGAGACATTATGAACACATTTTACAGTCTTTTACCTTTTTCATAAAAAAAAATCTAGCAGACATAATAATATTATGGCTTTTGAAATTAGGTGTCACAATGCTAATTCATAACAAAGACGATATCCAACTTGTCACTGAATTCCCATGATCTTTGTGAGACACCCTATACTGCAAATTGTACTTTATGAAACAAGTTAATCAATGCTAGTTAAGCAAAAGGTAGCGTTAAGAAAATCTAATCTTTAGATAAAAAAGTATCTGGTGTTGATATTTTTATGTTTTTAAAAAATAAGTAATCTTTTGGTTAACTTTATAAAACAACTATGAATTTTATTGCAAAACAAATGCCTTAGCACTTAACGAAAATTTTATATTCTATTTGCCAACCTAACTCAGATAGAATTATGTAAGATTGTAATAGATATCCTGTACCACTATATCTGGAAACCTGAATTATGTTGTACATTATTAATTATCTACGTTGTAAATAGTTATGTAAACCCATATCCTTATTTATCTTAACTTTGCTGTATGTAACTATGTAACATGATTAGCTTAACTATGTTATAAATATATCGATGTAAAACTTGTAATTACATTGATTAGCGTTAACTTGTAACATAGAAACCCAAATATAAATTAGTTGGAATAGACTTAGCTGTGCGAGAAGTAAATGCTTCTCATTTAGCGGATGAGTTTTTGAGATCATGCCCAGTGGTTTGGCATTGATAGAATAGTTGAGATTATGCACAGTGTTTTGTATTGATAGTCTCAAAGATCGTGCCCAGTGGTTTGGCATTAATAGAATAGTTGAGATTGTGCCCAGTGTTAGGCATTGATAGTAAAGTTAAGATAGTGCCCAAGGTTTGGCATTGATAGAAAAGTTGAGATTGTGCCCAGTGTTTGGCATTGATATTATAGTCAAGATCATGCCCAGGGTTTAGCATTGATAGAATGTGAGATCATGTCTGGTTTTACATTGATAGCTCAAGATCATGCCCAGTGTTTGTGTTTCACATTGATAGTAAAGTGAGATTGAGTTGTACCTGGATAGATAAGGCCTGGATGTAAGAAACCCTTCTGGAGTAAGGAAATTAACTACAAAAGTGGTAGCAGCGGCGAATATCAATGAACCATAGTTAAATGGCACAGACTTCAAGAAATAAAAGTACAAGTGATGACCTGTTTTAAATGGTAACAGGAGAAAAGAACAGTATCAGTGCAGCAAAAAGTTGGGAGTGTTACCAAAATGAACAGTGTACCAGAATATAACAATGGACAATTTTAATAAAGAATCAGATATCAGAAGACCAGACATAAGAAAACTGCAAGAAACCTTCAACGTCAGGGATTGGAAGCCCTGTTGCAGAGAGTGGAGTTGCAAAACAAAAAGAAAAAGGAAAAATGGAAAACATAAAAAGGATTCAAGAAGTAAAAACAATATTGGAGCAGAACAAGAAGATGGATAAATAATAACAACGTATGTAACATCTACATATAGTAGTGGAAACAGGGGAAGCAACTGAGGATACATACAAGGGGATGTGTGATGTTGAAACTATTATCAGAGAAAGAGTACAGGGTTTCATTGAGAGGGCTCCCAAATATGATGGAAATCCAGAAATAATATTTGAATGGTGCGAAAACTTGGAAACTCATTTACTTACTTAGGGAAACAGTCACAGATAAAGATGTTAAAGGAGAGTGGTTTCATGCATCACAGGAGCAGCTAGAAGAGAGATTGTACTGTTTTATCAAATGGGAGTAGCAGAAATGATGAAAAGATTCTCACAACAAAAATATAATGAAAGCCAGGGACAGGAATACCTGGACAGGAAACAGAAAAAAGAGGAAGAGACCAGAAGATCTTATGCTGACAGGAGGAAGCTATACCAGAAACAGGAATACCTAAATAGGAAACAAGAAAGTGGTGAAGATACCAGAGAATGTTATACTGATAAGGAAAAGCTATGGTTACAAGCATATGCTCCAGACAAGAGGAACCTGGTATAATTCAAGGATGAAATGCTTATGGGACTGTATGATGCAGAGTTGAAGAAAACATGCCTGATTTTTTATGCTTTAAGAACCACAACAGGAAAGCAAGATTAAAGCAGTAGTAGAATGCCAACAATCTCCAGATAGACATGAGTTAAAAACTACATATATATATGTATACAGCTTTGAAACAGTAGAAAACACAAAGAGAGCAAATAAGATGTTGGAAGCAGGAAATGTTAACAGGGAACCAGTTTCCTGCAATAATTCAAGAAAAGAAAAACAGATTTTAAGTAATTGCAGACAGGAAGAGCAGGGTGAGTGCAGACATGAAGGGCAGGAATGGTATGAGAATTTAAAGAAGAATTTCCTGCAATGGAAAAAGAAAAATCTAAACAGGGCAACAAGAGGTGAGAACAGGAAACCAGTTGCTTTGTCAAAGAACAGCTCTAACAACCTATGTTTGAAAACCCAAGAATTGAATGAGATTAACCATGATATGGATGCTGATTCAAGAAATATTTTGATAGTTTAAAGAAAAGGATTTTAAATCCTGAGTTCCCTGGAAACCAGAAGAATCCCATGAAAATACAAGAAGAAGTGATAGATTGTAAAAAATCCAGAGGAACACTGAAGACAAAGTTGAGGAAAAAAGGACCTAATCTATCTAGTGTGGAAACCATGTTCAGTGATGAAGATAAAGCTCTGGTTGAGAGTACAGAAGATCAGAGCTGAAAACTTTTGAATGGTGGATATCGGGATTAATGCATAATCCACTCTTTTTCTTAATCTCGAGATTAAATATTGCTTGTTATCCTCTCATTTTTAATCTCCAGATTAATTATCCGATCAGGATTAAGGATATCCCATTCTAAAGTTTTCAGCTCAGGTTTATATTGGTAGGCTGATGTGTTTTAGCAGGTTAAGTAAATCTCAGCACGGGAAGTGTGGTACAACAAGAAGTGCCTAAGTTTTGCTCAAAACAAGAAATGAGTCACATACCAAAAGTCAGAGAAAGAACACCCGAAGACTAGAGCTTTAGAAAAAACATGCTACCAGAAGAACAAGAAGCAGGTCAAGAAATAATACTTAAAAAAGAACACTCAATCATAGTTTAGCAGGCAGTATACTAGCTATATGCATGCAGAAACATGAATATGGAAATGAAACATCAGCAGAAATGATGAATTGTGTACAAGAATCAGATTATCTTACAAAAGAAAGCTTCAAGATAGATGAAAACAGGTTTTTAAACCAGGATGAAAAGTTGAAAGGGGAAGTAGTCAACTGTTTTTAGATAAATTCTTGGGTTTGGCTTCAAATCCGAAACATTACCGGGAAACAAATCTTTGAGAATTTGTCATACATAAGAAGAAATCAGAAAGGATGAACGTAGAATACCCACTAAAAAATGAAGTAAAAATGAAGATAACATTTGCAACAGATTTAGAAGGGGATCCAGCGGAAATAGCTAAAGACAGGCGGAAGTTAGCAGAATGCCCATCTGTTATGCACAGCATGAGTCAAGAGAAGCATCAAGATCAAGAGCAGCATCAAGTTCAAGAGACACATTAAGAGCAAGAGCGTTACATGACGATAAATATGCTAAGTATAAACAAAGAGAAACAAATACCTAGAGAGGAAACAAAATTGGAAGAACGAAATCAATATCAAGAGTTACAAGAAAAACAAGATAAATGGAGAGAAATTGCAGAACCAACAAAGTTAGCAAAGTAGAGAAAAATCAACAAGAAAATGAAGATGGAGAGAAAAGGAAAATAGGAAAAGCAAAGCAGTTTAAACTATTTGAGAAAGCCAACCCATTCCACTGTAGAAACGCAATTCAAAAATAAAACGACAGATGCATATGTAAATTCCACAGCTGTATCCAGAACAAATGCACAGTTAGACAAGCACAGCAAGGACAGTAAGAAAGTTAATCTAGTTCCAAAGAATCAACCAGAAAGTTCAGAGAAACAACTAGGAGATAAGAAGGGATTAAGAGCAAGTATTACAGTTGTGAAAACAGGTTCCCACCCTCTTACCCTCACAGCACTAGCTGAGAATGATGTTTTCACGAAAATCATTAAAAAATTGCGCAAAGATTTGCTTATGTTGCAAGTAAAAATTGCACGAAATTTCGGTATTTCTTGGTATTGCATATTTTAATTTTCCTGCTACTGGGTTATTTTGAGCTTTTTTGTTATTTAGCTAAATTTTGAGAAACAATTCCAGAAAATGATGAATAAATTCAAAATTAAACCAATCAGAATTACAGGCTGGGCTCCAGCCCAATTGTTGCTCACACCTGCAGGCCTAATATGGGGCCCAATTCTCAGGTTTTAGGTCACCGCACCATACCGACTATTATACCGTTTACCGGCAATCAATCTCAAGTAGTAACTGAGTTACTCACAAATTAATTAATCAAAATCACATTCACTAATTATTAGTCCAGTCTGAAGCAGGGTTAGATGGAAGTTGTTTATCACTAAAACTAATTCAGACCATACTGTCCAAATATTAAAATCTTTCATATTTATGCACTTTATGGCATGCAACAAATATTACTTAATTTTGTTTTCATGCACTATACTGCAGTACAAAAATTTTAATTTTTTGAATTTATGGGCATTGCAAAATTAAATGCAAAAATTACCTGTACTCATATGAAGAAATTATTAATTAAATTTTGTATTCATGCAATATTTTGTGCAAAAATTTCCCATAAACATGTGAATTAAGTGACGACTGTAGATCGTCTTTGATCTTCAATGGTAAAAATACAACAACATCAGACCAAATTTCGGAAAGCTAAAAAACGTGTACACATAAGTGAGAAAACCCTTTGACATTCGTAAACTTTAAAAAAATGATGACGACTTCTTAATTCCCATGTTTAAAGGGACGTGCATAATATGCAAGAAACCTGGTTAAAGCTTGTGAACTTTTCAACTTTAACTTTTCAACTTAACATTTTTTTTCTTGTAATTGAACAACTTAAGATATATCTGAATTTAAAATTATTATTATTAGCAGACAACCCAGCATTCAATGAAATAGGGGTCGACGCTTTTAACATGTTTGAGAAAAAAAAAACTAAATTTAATATTTAAAAATAAGGGATTGTCAATTGAAAACACAATCCAACTAATATAATTCGGAATGAAAAAAATAAAGTAAATTAACTTGAATTTTATGAGATTTTTGTTGGAAATGTTCATTCAAAAATTAGATTTAGTTATTTTATTTTTCCGGGCTAAAAAACGCACATTTTGCCCAAACCCTGTAAATTTCATATAAAAATCCCAAAAAGTAGCCTACTTTGGGTAGTATGTAACAAGTTTAAACTCTGTAGTAGAGACTAAATTTTTCGTCTGAGCTGAAACATTATGAGAAATATTATGTGAAGAGAGTGTGCTGGTATGAGTGAGGCTAGTAGTTGAAAACCTTCCTCTCACCAGAGCCAAATACTCTTTTTCAACGTCACTTCTCTCTATTAAAAAAAGCATCAGTCAATGTCGCAGAACGTAGTTATACTTATAAACTTTTAAAAACAAAAAGTATAAACAATGATCAAACAAAACTTGTTCTTTAAATGGTTAAATATGATGCATAATTGTTTCAATTTGTGTTATTTTGAAATATTTTTAATAGATATTCCTAACAGTTTCTTTGCGGAAGCGGCAGCAACTTTTGACTAAAATATTGCAAAATCTAAGATAAACTTGTTATTAATAGATTTAATTTTTTATTAATATATATATTTTATACCATGAACTTTTACCAAGATTTTAAAATCAAATTGTTTAGGTCAATAGCCCAAACAAAGAGGGGGGGGGGGGTCACAAAACGTATTACTCTCCGGAAAATTAAACAATGTTTAAATATAACTTAGAATTGTCGTTGAACGCTGATTTTTATTTGAAGTCAAAACAACGCTAATTTTTATTTGAACTCAAAAATATGTATTGTAATTGCAATATTCATTTTGACCTCGTAGAATTCCATATGCCCAATTTTCTTTTAAATCAACATACAGCATGAAAATCTGTGCAAAGTTGACCCATAACGTACCAGCTGGCTATTGAATTTCTCGCTTTAGGTCGTTAAAGATCATTAAAAGGTCAAACACTGGATTCGTTGCTGCTACTGTATACTTCCTGAGGTCATCGAGGTCATTAAATGTCATTAGAGGCCATTAGTGTCCACTTTTATTTTATTTCATTTTAGGAAATTCAAACTCAAATTAGGCGTGCAGCCAAAAAAATGGAAGATTTGAACCAAAAACGAAGGCAGGGNACCCTCATAAAATAGGACATCTCCACCATCATCACCTTAACCCAAAAAATTAGATTTTGGAATGTAATGTGTAATTGTGCATCCACATTGCCAGAGTAACACTGCAATGTTCTCCTATGAATCAAAGAGTCACTTGGGTAAAAAATGTATAATAAGAAGAAAAATTGGGTCTTGCCCAACTTAAAACTAGTCTGACAATTTCTTGGCTGAGTTTTAACAACATTTATTAAAGAGCATATACTGTACGTCATAATGATGGTAACTTTTTTATACTGTTAAAGGATTGTCCACTGTCCAAAGGGGACCACCAAAAACATGAAAATGCACCAATTTTTACAGAAACATCCGTAGAAATTTGAGAACAAATTAAAATGGTGACTTTGAAAGCAACATTTAAAAATAAGCTAACATTGTTATTAGTAAAGGAGACGCATAGTTTCCATCTTTACTACGCACACATTGTTTAAAAATTGAACTTGTACCTTTGCTAGAATAACGATTCCACTCGTTAATCTGTCTATTCTATGAACAGGTCTGTTACACAACCATTTAGACCAAGAAATGTTTACATAAGAGAATAAGGAAACAAGAAAAATATTAAATAATAAACTAGAAAAATAATACAGAAAACAGTTAAAACTGCACAAAAAATGAAGGTTTTAAAATGCATTGCATTACCCGAAAATGATTGAAAATGTTATACTTCTTATTCAATAAAAATATAGAAAAAAATTAAATATTAATGATTGCTTTCCTTAGATCCATGTAACCATGCTCCCTTGCTAGGATATATATCAGAGAATTAAACCTGGAAACAAGACCAATACAAATTTAGGTTATAACACTTAAAGGGAGTGTTTGCGAAAAATGAAAGGGGGTATAGGCTTAATGCGATAAAAAAGCGCTTTTGATCGCTACTACTCTTACTTCTATCTGTTGCGTCTATAAGGAGAAAATTGTTAAAAACGATTAATACCGAAGAACGTAGTGTCCATACAAATTCAGAAAGATGCAACATACGACTTAGACCTTAGTTGATTTTTCATAATATGTTTCAATTGTTCTGATCTGAGAGTTACTTATAAAAACATTTATTCCTGTTTCGAGGATTTTTGGTAATGAAGACGACATTTTCATGTTTTCCAGGAATGTTCGAAAACAAGTTGTAAGCTAAATATTATTTTAAAAAACAAAATCAAAACTAGTATGAAATATCAAATATATACAAATGTGGCGAAAGATAATCTATGACTACAGGTTGTAATATCTGAATGATTTTTAAAAAATCAAATTGATTTTTTACGGTCTAAGTCGTATGTTGCAATTTTCTCAATTTGTATGGACGCCATGTTATTCGGTATGAGACGTCTTTAACAATTTTCTCCTTATAGACGCAATAGATAGAAGTAAGATTAGTAGCGATCAAAAGCGCTTTTTTTATCGCATTAAGCCTATACCCCCTTTCATTTTTCGCGAACACTCCCTTTAAATCGAAAATCGTGCATTTCAAAATATGACTGCACATAAATAAAACCAAAACTTCCATAAGGAATGTTAAATAACATAACAAAAAGATTGATTCTGTGGTATCTGGGAACCACAAAACGTGCATTGAACTGGTATCTGAAATCTACACTTAATAAGATTTATACAAGTACTTAAACCTGTTTATATCTATCATGTGTGTAACCTGTTGACATTGCAGATCGGGTTAGTCCTATTCCGCGGGCCTAACTCCTCATGCGCTGTCATATATATTGACTTGTGTCTACGCTGCAGCGGTCCGGGATGTACTGATCAAATCTGGTCTCTCCGATCTCTCATTGTATCTAAGGGACTGTTCACCCTTTTCTGGTTCAGTCCGGAATACAACAAAATCCCCCTGATGCATGGATGGCTGAACTGATTAAGTCATCATCATCACCAGAGAGGTCGGATCTTGATTTAACTCTTCCATTCACTTCCATTAGGATGTCCAACCATGGTTCCTCTCTCTTGTTCAGTGAGGGCTAAGATGAGGCTGCTCCTGAACTCTGTCAGTAGGAGCGAGTTGAGCCCACTAGCCCTGGTTCATGTGACTCCTCCCCGCATATCATGAATACGCTCATGACCATGTTACTCAGCTTCCCTATCAGGCACAATACCACATCACAACCAGCACAATGTCCCACTCTTCCAAGGAGTCCAACAGGCAGGGCTTCCAATCCAATCCACATTCCCCAGGTTCAAGGAGTCCCTCAGTAGTTCACCTGAGCCTCTGCTCTCTGCTGGGCTGGATGTGGTCTCAGACAATCATTCTGCAGGTCATACAACTGGTGATTTTCTGCTCAATCCTTGCTCCCTATCACTCTGCTCTAGATCTCCAGTCTCCACAGTATTTGTAGCATCCACAGCATCTACATGATCTAGTTCATCTACATGGTACTCCAGTTGTTCAGGTTTTGTTTTGACAACTGGAATTGTATGGATTGAACTGGATCAGTGTCTTGGACCAAGTTTCCATTGGTGGCCTCCAATATAGATGGTAATACTTCATCCAATCTAAGTACATTGGCAAATATTCCTTAGAACATTTGTTGTGTCTTTGGTATCCAGGATTGGGGGGTAACCTCCACTGTACTGCATTGCATCTCTTGGATAATGTTCCTGCGATCCCTGACCAATACATTTGGATGGAGAGGGGTGCGTTGACATCTCCAAGAGTTTAGCAGCATTTTGCTATGATTCTGGAACTATCATCAACTCAGGAATGTCTGTAGTGAAGTATGTTGTGTCACATTCTTCATTCCTTGGTCTTTTTAATTACCTGAGAATAATGTTGTGTCTTTCATCAACTATGTAAGACTCAGGAGACCCTTGTGATTTTAGTTGGATCTCTTTGACAGTTAAGCTCTGTGCTTTTGGCTAACTGACAGTGATCCAGTTTTCCAGTATCAAGTAAGTATCTATCCCGTAGAGCGTTCCGTATCCTCGATGTAACGTTTTCCTTATTCAACATTACTTTGAAGATCTATGGATCCTGCTCCAGGAGATTTCAACGTCAATTTCTGACGTTGTTATAGTGACAGGTTTTAATCCTGACATAAATTCATGTTGTTCACTGTTAATGTTCATTTTGCATTATCACAGTAAACATTGGACTCTGATGCCCTTACATGCTACGGTAAATTTTGAAATACCGTTTTGAAATACCGTTTTCATGACATCCCCCTTTGGGTTTTCATGTAATTTGGTAGACAAATAGGCATTTTTATTAGGTATGCACCATTCAGATTTCTTGTAAATAACCAATTTTTGAGGTTTCTTACAATTGTTTGGTGTTTTCAAAGTGTCATTCATTCTTATTTGTTTAATTGTTAATACATTTGTAACAATTAAAATAAGAAAAACGTCGTCTTTGTCATTTTCCTAAGTATCTATTTAGAGTCAGCAAACTTTAATCAACTTGCACAAAACTATAATTACATGGGTAAACTTCAAATTGCTTGCAAAATGTTGCTGCAATGAGTTTATGTTTTGATAGTTTGCTCATGAATTTAACATTCACGACGTTTTCATAAGATAATACCATGTNCAGTATTTGTAGCATCCACAGCATCTACATGATCTAGTTCATCTACATGGTACTCCAGTTGTTCAGGTTTTGTTTTGACAACTGGAATTATATGGATTGAACTGGATCAGCGTCTTGGACCAAGTTTCCATTGGTGGCCTCCAATATAGATGGTAATACTTCATCACAATCTAGTAGATCAAGAATTAGTTATCTTATTATCAGCCTTAGATGTGTTCAAGTACACAGGTTCCTCACCTAAGTACATTGGCAAATATTCCTTAGAATATTTGTTGTGTCTTTGGTATCCAGGATTGGAGGTAACCTCCACTGTACTGCATTGCATCTCTTGGATAATGTTCCTGCGATCCCTGACCAATACATTTGGATGGAGAGGGGTGCGTTGACATCTCCAAGAGTTTAGCAGCATTTTCCTATGATTCTGGAACTATCATCAACTCAGGAATGTCTGTAGTGAAGTATGTTATGTCACATTCTTCATTCCTTTGTCTATCTAATTACCTGAGCATAATTTTGTGTTTCTCATCAACTAGATAAGACTCAGGAGACCCTTGTGATTTTAGTTGGATCTCTTTGACAGTTAAGCTCCGTACTTTTGGCTAACTGAAAGTAATCCAGTTTTCCAGTATCAATTCCCATAGAGCGTTTCATATTCTCAATGCAACATTTTCCTAATTCAACATTACTTTGAAGATCTATGGATCCTGCTCCAGGAGATTTCAACGTCAATTTCTGACGTTGTTATAGTGACAGGTTTTAATCCTGACATAAATTCATGTTGTTCACTATTAATGTTTATTTTGCATCATCACAGTAAACATTGGACTCTAATGCCCTTAATTACATGCTATGGTAGAGAAAAATTTGGACACTTTGAGCATTTAATCCCTTTGACATTTTGGGATCCAAATTTTTGGAATACCGTTTTTATGACATTTTCATGACATCCCCCTGTGGGTTTTCATGTAATTTGTTAGGCATGCACCCTTTGGGTTTTATTAGGTATGTACCATTCAGATTTCTTGTAAATAACCAATTTTGAGGTTTTTACAATCATACTCGGTGTATTTCAAAGCGTCATTCTTTCTTATTTGTTTAATTGTTTATACATTTTTAACAATTAAAAACAAGAGAAACGTCGTCTTTGTCATTTTCCTAATTATCTATTTAGAGTCAGCAAACTTTAATCAAATTGCACCAAACTATAATTAAACTAGTTGTTTGCAGTCTGGAAGTGCGAACAATAAATTAAATTACCATTTTGTACACATGGGTAAACTTTAAATTGTTTGCCATGTTGCTGCAATGAGTTTATGTTTTGATAGTTTGCTCATGAATTTAACATTCACGTCGTTTTCATAAGATAATACCGTATTGAAATTTATATTCCATAAATTTGTAGTTATTATTTTATCTTAAATTTATAGAACTTAAATTCTGATTTATCATAATTCCGGAGAACTATAATTTATGGTATATGCATGTACATGTACATGTTTGAAAATCCAGCTCGTGAAATTGTATCCGGTTCTTTCAAACCTGGACATTCTTATTCTTTGTAAACCCTGGGACCAATAATGTACAATGTACATTCAAATCATATTTTTGTTTATGATTCTACAAATGCAATATTCCGAAGAATACTACAACCTAGCTCAGGTAAAAGATATTGATCTTTCCGGGACCAACTCGTTATGTTTGGTTGATCCATCATTGATCTTCTACTAACAATGTATATGCAAAAAAAATAGACAAGGTCATATCTTTAAGTTCCAGTCCTGGAGCGGTCTGATACCTGATATTCCCATATCTTTATAAATGCATGTACAATCACATTATGACAGTAACATAACAGATTAGTAGTTGATCATGATCTTTTTATTTGTTAAGATCATGATCCTGATCCCTAAGGACCTTCTCAATAATAATGATCCTTTGATCATGATCCTTTTATTTGTTAAGATCATGATTAAGATCAAATGAATAATAATGATCAATTGATCATGATCTTTTCTTTGTTAAGATCATGATCAAGATCAAATGAATAATAATGATCAATTGATCATGATCTTTTCTTTGTTAAGATCATGATCAAGATCAAATGAATAATAATGATCAATTGATCATGATCCTTTTCTTTGTTAAGATCATGATCAAGATCAAAGGTATCATAATGACACTATTTAGGATCATGAGCAGGATCTCTTGAGACCTCTGCAATCCTATCAAGCTTGGATCCCATCTTCTTGAGGGAGGGATAAACCCTC